CCAAATTAGACGATCAAATTTGTCATCATTTGGCAAAAAATGGCCTCACTTAAAGTGGGATAATTATCCGACATGACACGACATTAAAGCTTGGGGTTGATTAATTACAAACTATTAAGTTATAATTACAGGTAATCGGGGGGAAGCCAGATAAGCGGTGCGAAACCACTCGGTGCGACACCACTCGGCGCGAACACGTAATCGGCGCGAAACCACCCTACACCAAACAAGGTAACCACAGCTGTCATTCCTACCTTCCATACTCGTCTTCCAGTTCTCGTTTGTTGGCGACTTTTTCTGTTGTCTTCTGACGCTCAGGGACAAGATCATGTCTCCTGGTCCTTTGTTAAACATGAAAAATACACAGAAAATCAGATTCCTATATCTCATTTAACCCATACCTATAGTATAATGCTAAATCAAATCACTTTATCATATTTATCATTCTCTGCTTGCATGATTTAATTTGTGATCATTATTCATGAGGTAAAATTAAAGCCATATATGGCGTATGTACAATGAAAATTATTACACTAAAATTATAAGAACTTATTATTTGTATCATTACTTTATATAAAGATAGAACTTTTCCCTAAATTACAAAATCTAAGTCAATTGCGTTATAAAGTTATCACAATTTAATTTGGATTCTCGGAATTTTCTCCGACTCGGAAGAAAATACAAAAGATTTATAAATAACACATTACAGAGAAGATAAAATCGTATTATTAGTTGAAACGAGGGGTTCTCCGTGTTCAGAATTGTATGAAAAGTTTTAATTTAAATGTATTAATTATATTTCTTTACTTAATTTTATATTTTTCAATAATATATTTTTTGATCAGTTACGCCATATATGGCTTTAATTTGTGATGAGGTAAAATCTCTTATATTTAGTGAAATCAAATAGGTATATATAAAATATAATGGCTCATAACTTTAGTTACCAAGCTTGGAAAAACATGCTATATGAAAGTAATATTTAATTACTCTTTATTGTTATGTCAAAATAAACTTGCCTTCTTTCTTTCTCGGCATCAGAATCAAAATCTGAGGTGTACCCTCCTCCGGTATGAATCTGTGGGGCGAAAAAATATAAAATTGTTAAATAAGAGACCAGTTTATCGTCTTTTTAAGGTATTAATTAAAAAACAAATCCAATGCCTACCCTTGAGAAGTCTATACTTTCTTCTGACATATTGTTTACAAATAAACGGAAGTAAAATGGACTTACCCATTTAATAAAAGGGGCCAAAGATACTTTGATCACTTCTAAACGTCAAACATTTTGGTAAAAAACGAACAGATATAAACTTTGGGAATATTTTACATTAACTCGCTATGCTTGTATTGAAATGATATGGCCATTTTTAAGCACTTTGTCTTGAATGAATTGGCTTTAAATATAATTACCCCTTTTTGAGGACGAGTTCATTTTTCCATTAAAGATGGCTGCGCCCACAATCTGTGTACCAGGTACTGAGAATTCTGTGATCCCTTTGATTTTGTTGGTCTTTCATAAACATAAGATATACAAGAAGTACAGATCACTTCAGATATGTGTACTTTACAAATTTAAACACAGTAAATGTCTGAAAGAAGCTATTTTAACATATTTTTACATCGTGGTGTTTCATTTCTTTTGATTTTCGTGCCCGATTAAATTAACAGGTTTACAATGAATTTTAATATTTTCATTTTTTAAAGTTTTTTCATCCTTTTTTAAAAAAAATATTTGTGTAAATTGGTAAACACGTATACACAATTAGTCACAGTTTAATATTGTCAAGTCCAAATATATAGTATGTGCATGTATATAAAAAAAAAAAAGATATATACATGCACATACTATATTATACACTTATCCACTGGGTGTGAGTGGGATAGCTCTTTTATCAAACCCACGACAGAGAACTATTCCCCGAGGGCTTGCCCGAGGGGAATAGTTCCTGTCAAGGGTTTGATAAAAGAGCTATTCTACTCACAACCAGTAGATAAGCGTTTTATTATACTGATGTATAATTTAATTTCTGAGGTTTGAATTTCTTTGGAGTAAGATAATTCTGCAAGAATAATCTGAAAACCTTATGACGTCACAATGCTACTGAAGTCATTATGACATCATCAGTTTAAAGATTTATCGCTGGAAATCAAAATTGGCGGCAACAAATTCATGAAAATTTTCCGAGGGTAGATAGAAAACTATACTCCGGGGTATAGTTTTGCTATGCGTAGACTATAAAGGATAGTTATTTTACCCTCTGAATTTAATATAGGAAACATTAAAACAGAAGTATAATAAATTTCGTTACATTAACTCCCAGTGCCCCTGGATGAAGCTATTTTAATAAATGCATGCTTTTTTGGACGAAATATACAAACGTTGCAAGTCTAAATTTAATATTTAATAATTATATTTCTAATATGATGATTAGCATGAAAGAGTTCTGTTGAACAGGTTTTTCTTTGCCCTCTACTCTTACAGGTCTTTTCAAAATTTCAGTGGAAATACCTGAACTCTTGACTTCACTATTAAAATGCATTGACCTTATTATATTAATGTACGAAGTCTTTTTATAATTATTGATTTTCAAGGTCAGAGGATTTGTCGTTTGGAAGAGACTTGTGAAGGGGGTAATGGTACCTACTCCAGGAATGGCTATATTTATTCCAGTCTAGCCGGCTATCTACAGACGTCTCAAAATGAAGATGGAAAGGTACATTCTACTGTGACTGCTAGGTTTAATTGTATTTATTATATTACTATAATTAAATCACAGCAATTTTTGAAATGTAGTACAACTGTATTTGAGAAAAATATTATAATCTGACAGATAAATAAAAGAAATAAGATGGAAATTACATTTTTCCTATATTTCTTATCAATTATTTCTTGAATTTCAGTCACTGATTCAAGTGAAAACACAAGAAGAACAAAATGTTGTTCCCTCTTTAGATGCCATTGTTACAACAAGGGTATGAATCTGATATTGTTTAATTTTAACTGAAACAAAATTTGCAGCACTATTGTGTTTTGTTGCAGGATTATGCTAAATGTAGCTTATGACTGCATGTTTCAGATAACAAATGTCAATCCTAGATTCTGTAAATGTATGATTCTCAGTGTGGGAAAAATTCCATTAAAGGAGCCATTCAGGGGACAAATCAGGTAAGAAAAAGGGAAAGTTAATGACTTTAAATATCACACTTATATTAAGACAAGTCTACACAATAAATAATCACACACCTTTGTTTTTTAAGGAAAGAGGATGTCCGTGCAACAGAAAAAGACAAGGTATACATGTATCATTTTAATAACATCATTTTGTATAAAGCCATGATATTTAAAAATTTATTATAAAAATTTTGTGTCAACAACATAAAATAGTTTTTTCATTGTAGGTGGAAATGTACAAGTGTTTCAGACCAGGAGATATAGTCATTGCAAGAGTTGTATCCCTTTGAATCACACTTTAATTTTATTACTAAAACGTTTTACATGTACATGTATTAAAAAAGAAATAATATTTTTACTTTTTAAGAAAAAAAAAAATCCTTAATGTACACTAGCTTTCATTAGGAGATGCCCATTCTTACCTACTCAGTACAGCAGAAAATGAATTAGGGGTTGTCATGGCAACAAGCGAAGCAGGTACATTCATTCTTTATATCAGCAAATTTGTTGTAAGTAATTCTTGTTTGTAATTTGAATTCAGAAATATTCAAGTATATGTATTTCTCCAATTTTTGTGATTACAAACAGGGGCCACATTAGAACCTATCAGCTGGTGCAAGATGAAATGTCCCAAAACATTGACAGAGGAGTTCAGAAAGGTCGCCAAAGTTCAACCTAAATATGTACAGTATGCTGGGACTTAATAAAAACAAACAAAACTAGAAACAGTCTACTTCAGTTTATCCAACTTAGACAAATGAAAGCAAAAACAGACAATATAAATACTGTAAATCACTTTTTATTCGTGAGAACTTTATTTTCGCGTAATTACGTGAGACGGTATGCTCGCGAAAATGTCATTCTTGCTTATCATAGAATTCCTTAAGATAATATAGAGCAATGACCATAATTTGTGAAAATTTTGTCTCACTTTTGAAAAGTCAATGACTATCTCGTGAAAATAAGGTGTCGCGAAAATTAAGTGATCTACAGTACTGTGTAGATTTTCTGTGGGAATATGATCATAAAATCTTCACTTTTTCATTATAATTGCATTGTTGAATGCACAAATAAATGAATCCTGCTTAACTTAATCAATTAATAGTTTAAAGTTGAATAAACATATTCATACTGAGGAAAAAAAAAACTTACTGAAGACACTTTTTCATCTGCTCTATTCACTAGACTAAGTAATTTAGTCTGACCAAGTTCAGCAGTGTATAGTGTTTGGGTCAAGGAATGTGTGAATCAAAGGCAGGTGAGAATGAGATGTCCATTTGTCCAGAAGACTCAGTTATTTTGATTTGAAACAGAGGTTCTAATGTATAAAGGACTAATCAGATAGGTATTATCATTCCAATACCAGTGTGTTACTTTGTTTGATCTAGCATGGTAAAGTTTCAAACGGAGATCACCATATTTCTCCTCGATTAAATGTTTATAATTTCAATGCAAAGAGTGTAAATAGAGGAACCAGCGATGGGCTTTGACTGATCATGTGTTGCTGCTTTATAAAAATGTATTGTAAACCATCATTCAATGCAATTTGTCAGTATAATCAGTATATTGCTGGGTTCCTTGTTTCATATCCAAAGTAGTATTGTTTTCATTTAAATCAAACATCCAACTGATGTGAAAAGGTGATCATCATTTGAAACTTTAGCATGCTTGATCAAACGAAGTGACATTCTGATATTGAATGATAGTAGTATAGTGGACACATTTTCAGGGGTCAATTGGCTGTCGCTCTCTGTTTTCAAAATGCATACATTTTCCAATGTTTCTTAGCTTGAGTTACCAAGTACTTGCATAAATCAACAATCTGTAAATATACATTATTTTATTGCTTTTAGTGTATATTGTACAAAAATAAAACAAGTGTATAAAAATAATAAATTTGTGACTGGATCGAGAGTTCCAAGGCAGAAATAAATAATCTGGTGACTCAACAATGCTCACACAATTTATTACGTACAAGTATGTTAACTGACCTAAGACTGTAAAATCACATGTTTCTAAGGGGTAAAATTTTCAAGGCTTGAGAAAAATTATTGATTTGTAGGGTTTTTTTATGGGTACTTGGAGAGGTGTTGAGGAGTTATGAATTTTTACATTTTGTGGTGGACACTGATTCACGGGTCTATTCAAACCTCAAAAACAGCTCCCCTTAAAAATTAATGATTTCACAGTTTACCATTACTTTAACTTCTTTAACTAAATTAGAAGCATGTACACCACTCACAATTAATCAATGTTAAAAACTGATTATAAACCAAAACATTTGAAAATGAATTCTTTTCTAGTTTACCTATTAATAAGAAACTTGTGGGTCACAATGCTCACCATACCCAATAATAAGAAACTTGTGGGTCACAATGCTCACCATACCCAATAATAAGAAACTTGTGGGTCACAATGCTCACCATACCCAATAATAAGAAACTTGTGGGTCACAATGCTCACCATACCTAATAATAAGAAACTTGTGGGCCATATTGCTCACCAGAATCACCTTATTCCTGCTGTTGTTCAGAATATTTTTAAAAAGACCCCCCCCCTCCATCCTTTTTCCCATGAAACTTTTGACTACTTAGTGTGATCATGATTTGAATAAGCGCTATTTGAAGATGCTTGCAAGTATCTTATTATGGTCTATAGTTGTTCTGGGAACTTCCCGAAGAAGATTTTTTAAAAAGAAATCTCTTTGTACTACTTTTTAAAATGAGTAAAACTTAAAAATAAAATGACTACATATATACATGTACTTTCACTTTGAGTGCCATATGTACAGAAAACGATACATACTATACTGTAACAGTATTTTTCAGTGAAATTTGGTGAAAAAAAGTGCACTGTTGAAAAAAAATTAAGTCCCAAAGTAGGTACCATAATTGTATATTATTTATCTATAATGGATATTGAGAGCCAGATACACCCTTCACTTTCAAGACTCAAAAGATACATGAGTATTTTTTTTAACACTAGCTTGCATAACAAATTGTTTAGATAGATTTATGGTAAAAATATTCTAATAATCCAATATATTGGTATTTTTGATAGTCAGCAACAAAATTAAAAGAAAATAAATGCAGGCACTTGCAGTCAACAACAGAAGTCCTTGAATATCCATGTTTCTACTGACAAATGTAAAACAAATGTAAAAAATAATACCGATAATTTGCAGTAAATTCTTTAAAGAGGTCAAGAACCCTGCTTGATAGTTGATACATCTTTACATACAGGAATGTTCAATGTCAAAATATCTCAGGAAATGTATAAGAAACAATATAAAGTCGGAATTTTACAGCTAGGACTTCATGTAATGAAATATTCATACACTCAGTAAGTAGGTCACTTAGAAAGAAGATTCAGTGGTTTCTCTTCTGAAATAAATTCAGCTCTTACACAATTGTAGGCACCCGTCCAATCTCGTCAATGTATATAGGTCGTACCATGTACCCCACCTGGCCTTTAATGGAGTCTGGCAGTCTATCGATGAAATCTTGGAAATCCGTTTTCGTATCATGAAGTACCTCCTCCACGTTTTTCTTGGCCTTTTCTATACAGATTACCTGGAGATTCAGTTTGTCTATTATGTCCAGTTTTCCTTTGATTTCCTCTTTAAGTCTGGCATTAATCTGCTCGTACTCCTTCTTTAATTTCTCCAGCTGTTGGGCGGCCACCTTTTTCTGGGCCACCTCCATTTCCGCCACTGCCTTCTCCCTCTCTTTCTCCTTTCTCTCCTCCAGCTCTTTTAATGCCTTTTTCTTCTCTTCTGCAGCTATCTGGACCGCTTTCTCAAATTTTTCCTGTGCTGCCCTACAAAGAGTTAAAGGAGGATTTTCTTAAACACTGCTAACCTTTCTTAATTTTTTAATTTGTTTGTTTATTTAATAATCTTTCAAAGAATTCTGTATTGAAAAAAGAGGGAATGATAATCAGCTAGACAAGTCATGGACAAGGGGACATAACTTCTAAAATGCTCAATAACTGCATACACTGTCTGGGCATGTACATAAATTGACATATTTAAGAAATGAATTTAATTTTTGAAGATTCATGAGGTTATGAACTACGACGCTTCACGCCACCATATTTCATGAAGCGCGTTAGCGCTTCATGATAAATATGCCGGCGTGAAGCATTGTAGTTCATATAACTCATGAATCTTCAAAAAATTAAATTCATTTCTTATATTTACATTATTTTTCTGATGACTTGCCATAAATTTACGCCATTCAACTGTCATTTTTAAAACAAAACAGGGTGCACTATATCTTTTGACTTTTTGACGTCAAGAGCGGTATTATGACGTAACAATGGAGATATTCATGCGTATTCGTGATACATACCTAATGTAGTTCATGAGAAAATATACTGCATTTTATTTTGTAAAGAATCATAGGGGAAATTTATTGGAAATGTAAATATTCAAAATTTAGGGCAATCATTGGGTATCCAGTGGTTGGCGTGATCATGAATTAGTATCATATTCAGTTTTGATTAATTATTCATGAATAAGTGCGTTGTTGTCTGCACCAAAGTTGCTGAGTTACTTTTTTTTTTACAATCATCAATTTAAAAAATCTGAATTTCTTTTTAGAGTTTCCTTATTTTTTCATTGATTTCATTTTTTCAGTAATTTAAAAAAAAATTATTGCAAAACATCAAAGTCAGTACATTATAAAGAAATCTGATGAAATTAGGATGACCTAAAACAACAAATATCTTGTAGAAATTTTCACATATTTGAAACTCACGTTACAAAACTAATTTACATCTATTTCAACCGTAAAATCCACCAGAAATCAATTTTACAACAGCTTTTAATTATCACTACGTACTTGGCCACTTTTTTAACCTCCTCCTCTGCTATCTTCTTCTCCTCCTCGCGAGCTTTTATCACCGCCTCTACCAGCTCCTGGTGACAGCGAGCCTCAGTTTTCTTCACTGCTTCCTTTAGTCGTTCCTCAGCCTCAGCTCTTTCCTGCTTGACTTGTTCAATCGCTAATTTCTGCATCGCCATCTCCACCCTAAGAGCCTCTTCCTATTGGCAAAAATAAATTAAAGGCATTAATTTATAATAAACTACAACACACGTAATACATATGTACGTACATGTACCAGCTTAATTTATCATAAGCAGTAAACTGTTTTGGTTAAATGAAAACTGATATGTGTTTACACTTTATTAACAATTCACCCTACTCCTAAATCAACCTTTCATTATAGATCAGTTAAAAAATGGTGTTCTGTTGGTACTCGAATAACATGACAAACAATTGAACATGCAATGCTTGATTTGCTTTAGCGAAAGGATTTTTTATGCATTACTTTGTTGTTCCAGACTATTTATGAAATATGATTGACATGCAATTATTACCTCTCAAAGTATATATATTATATAGACTAATTCTAGACTAAATTAATAATAGTTTGCCTCAACTGCTCTTTGAAGTCTCAGCAGCAACCTACATAACAAGGATTAAAATTTTTAAAGTAAATTCTTACTGCAGGTACATATTAATGGTTTTGTTTTTTAGATTTTTTTTTACCCTCTCTAAGTTAGTTTGACATGTGAAATTATTCATGCACTGATTAAAGTCCAGTAGGTACCTAACATCATCAAGTACACGTGAAACTTCAGTGTATAGAGTTAAATTATCATAGCTTACACTGTATACCTCACGTAATAAAAACATCAAGACTGTAGTACATGTACATACAGTAACATGGCCTGTATGATACTTGGTGGAAAATTCCAGGTGGAAAAATTTAGCAAGGTCATCTCATTGCAAGCCTATGCAATCTCATAATGATACAATGAACGGTAAAAACAGATAAAAAGGAGATGAAATAGTGAAGCATTGAAAATTTTAAATTCAAATAAGTTCAAAACTATGACTTGAAGACAAAGGACTTAGCAGTGTTGTTCTTTTTTTTACTTAAGATTGTCTGTCTGTCTGTTTCTCTTCATGTCTGTCTGCAACTTTCATGCAGAGAGCTTGCATTTATAAATATATATATTTACATTTCCAATGTCTTTGTCTGAGATAAAATTAAAAATTGTGAATGTACTTTTACTACAATCTACTGGTTCATCCATATGGGCAGGGACCTATATATGGGCGGTTAAAAAAAATCATGTGTTGGGCGGGACAAACAGAGACAGAAGCGGGCTTTGCGGAATCAAGAGCATATAAATATGAGAAATACCATAAATCTGGAAATTTTTACGTCAATTTTATTTTGCGAATTCGGGTCAAAATGCTCTTGATTAATTTTTATGTTTCAAAATTTTGCGAATGACCACTGCTTTGTTTACATTTTCTTATTTGTAATTTATTTCTAAGAAAAATATTTTTGCGAATGCAATGAACTCACAAATTTGTTAAAAAGAACTATATGCGGTATATTGCATATGTTTGCCCCCACAAAAGTCAAATTTTGAAAACTTCCTGAAATGTGCTGAATTCAATAAATTGTACAAGAAATATAAGTTAACAGAAAATATTATAGTTCCAGAGCAGTGTATTCACAATTTCTGTTTTTATGACGTCACAAACTAGTCCGATTTTATATCCTTTTTCAGAAAGAGGACAAAATGGACAAAATTTCAACAATTTAAGCTTTAGAATTTATAGAGCGCATGTGTGTTCAGGAACAATATTGACATATTTCATTGATATTATCATTCTACACATTATATCAAAATATTAATCCTGAACACACATGCGCTCGGTGACTTTTATTTAAAATATCGACGAAATATGTACATTTTTCTGCAAAATTCATAAAAAACTGAAATTTACGTCATTTTTGTGACGTCATTACGTACATATGACGTCATTACTTATGAAATTATTCAGTGCTTTGAAGCCAGCATATACTCCCCTGTTTAAGGACTTAATTAAATATTACTCCATCAAAGTTTGATTTTGGGGGGCAAATGTTGGTTAATACCGCATATAGTTCTTTATCTACAGCAAAAATTTCCAGATTTACGGTAACTGTCAGAATTTTTTTTTGTTCCATGATGATCGATTGATTGGTTTGCATGATAATTTTATGCATAAATGCCTTCAACATTTATGCAAATTATTATGCAAGCCAATCCATTCATCACATCATGAAACCAAAAAATTAGACAGATATTCCTTTGAAAAAGTATATACAGTCACCTTATCATTTTTGAATAACATAGTACGTACATACTTATGGAAAGAATGTAAGACATGATAATTTCACTAAGGTCATGTGGACAAGTTCAAGGTCATACAAATTGGAAGTAAATACAAAATCATATATATTTTAAAAATTTGACACTTGTACGAGAACAATATGTGACACAGATATGTACAATAGTTGAAATAGACTTTGCATCATGATTTGCAAAAAAACATAATAATTTCAAATGTCCTGTATTAAATGTACATATGTATCACTGCCAATGTATATAATTTACCTATTTTTGAATTTATTTTTGCAGTATACATTAACACTTTTCTATATCCTATTGCAAAAAAGGTGGACTTTGAACACAAATTAAACTTAAACTTAGGTTAGTTCCGATGTTCTAAATAGATAAACAAAGTTTTCTGGCCACAATTATAAATATTAAACTATGCCAGTCTAGGCAGCTGGATATCAACTCCTCGAAGATAAGAGAAAATGTCAGGTTGCATAAGAATTTAATTACATTGAAAAAGTTTTACTCTGCTATATAGAGGTGAAAAAGACAAGTCCTGTCAAAGTTTATAAAAAAATTTTCAAGTTTAATTAAATTAAATGACTCTCTTTCACTGATAGGTTTCACAGTTTTAGTGAACTATATTCAAATGCTTCTGTTTTCTTCATGCTTTTCTTTCTGGAACACTCCTAGGTTTGTTTAATTACTGCATAATCAGATGATAGTTGACAAAGTTTACTGATAAAAGCTTCCTCTGATAAAATAGGACCACACACATATTATCACTGAACCTTTTCAGTACAGTGACTGATGTGATTAATGGCCCACATGGACTACAAGAGAATGACATGAACTACAGACAGACACACTGACAATGATCATCAGCGCAGCAGCTGGACATCTCTACAAACAGGGCCTGTGGATTATGCAATATGATTTAAAGAGAATCACCAAACTTTCTGCAGGGTAAATATTAACTTATCTAGGTAACTACAGATTTAAACTTGATTGTCGTGATAATGGCTACCCTGTTGTTTAAAATATTTCAAAGGCAGGACAAGATTGCGTACAAGTATAATGACGTTTGAATATCCAGGCCATTATAAAAATATTGCTGAACAAAAAGTTCATAAAAATTAAAATAGATATGGATCCATTTTAAAAGAAGAAGGATGCTCTGGGTTCCTCCCTTTAAAAGTGGGGGTTGAGGAAGCAATGCTAGAATAACCAGGAGAAAAATAATTCTCCTTAGAGGCAGGAAAATTCTGTGGCCTGTTGGGCTAAAGCACAACCCTACTAATAACAACTGAACCCATCAAATAAAGCTGTCCTAAACAAAACTACTCAATGGCCAATAGATTGTACAGGGTCCTTTCTTATTCTTGAATATGGTGCTGTGACTATAGCTACATGTAGCTAATTTGAACAAGTTTTTTCCATATACGGGCAGGGGAACTCTTTAATTTTGTTTCAATTCTTGTTATCTCCATGCATGATCAAATTTTCATCTTTTACAAACTTAAATGCTAACAAATAAAAGACATTTTATTGTTTATATTTTTAACTGTATAAATATTTATGTTAAGTAGGTTTAACCAGTGCATGTTTCATTGAAAGAGAAACTCCTCTATACACTGTCTTGTTAATTAAAGCACTGTTAAAGTATATTGATAAACAACCATGGTTATAATAATTACAAAACAACATACCATATATTTTTTAGTGGAAATTTTAGCGAGATGCAAATTTAGCAATTTGTCCTTAAAAATAGGTATTTTATTTTTAGCGATATGTAATTTTAGCGATTTTAAAGAGTTATCTTAAGAAGCTATTGCAAATAAAGCTCAATTAATTTTTAGCGATATTCAATTTTAGCGATCTTGAAACCCTCGCTAATAATGCCAAAATTAAATCCTCCCTAAAATTTCTGCTTATATAGTATCATTCAGTGTGTGTAAATATTAGAGTATTATATTTACCAGTCCAGTCCAATACGAAAATTCGTAATATTACGAAAAAAAGTAAGATTACGAGAAAGCGTAATATTACAAGTTATCGTAATATAAAACTTATATTACAATTTTTCGTAATGTAGTAAAATTACGAATATGTGTAATATAGCAGATTGTAGAGACTATATTACGAGTTTTCGTAATCCAAGACAAATTCAAGCATTGCAAGAAATTGAGTGGCGGATAGTAAAGTATGACGTTTACTATGAGATGTCACGGGCGATAACTTGTACGACTCTTACTGAGATTTGAATTCGGTGTGTTTCAATAAGAATTGCACGAAAAGTTGTATTATGAGACGAGGGTGTGATTTTTAGGGTAGACTTCGGAAGAAAAGTAGGGAGTTCGGGTGATATAGACCAATGCGACATGCATAAGCGAATATTGAAATTTACTGGAAAATTGGTCTTATCCTTGGGAAAATTCCTATAAAAGAATGAAAAAAGAAATTGTCCACTCACCCATCGCTGGCGGTACTTTCTTCTTGAATTTCCATGCTTTCTGATAGGCGTAACTGACCAAACTGACCGCGTGCTATCAGTAGCCGTGGAATCTGATATATTACTGATGTCATACTTTGCTACCCACCACTCAATTTCTTGCAATGCTTAAATTTGTCTTGGATTACGAAAACTCGTAATATAGTCTCATACAATCTGCTATATTATGCGTATTCGTAATTTAACTACATTACGAAAAATTGTAATATAAGTTTTATATTACGATAACTTGTAATATTACAGTCTTTCGTAATCTTTCGTTTTTTCGTAATATTACGAATTTTCGTATTGGACTGGACTGTTTACCTTCAGTGCCTTTTCATGTTGTCTGTTGATTTTTTTTACTGCTCTCTCTAGGTCTATTGAGGAGTCTTCTCTCGCCTTCAGCAGTGCTGCTGACTTTAGTTGCTCGGCTTCTGCCCACACTGCTTGTTCAGCATCCCTGATTGCCTTCTGTTTCTCTTGTTCATATTTTTCTTGTACTCTTTTTTCCAAATCCCGCCCAAGTCCTGTGTGAAAGGAAAGTAATAATTCATATGTGCTGTATACAGTAATAGCAAATTGATGATGAATGCAATATGAAAGAGACAGCAGTCTTTTAATACATGTAGATGAAATATGAAGTGCATTGATTAATATAACCACTTTACTTTTATTTACAAATTTGGGAAATTTTTGCCCTTATTTCTGCTCTCTTACACCTACAATCTAGCCCCATTTCAAATCCTCGACAACAATTGTGTTATGAAGATATAGTTAAAAATATCAGATGTTTTCCAGGCTTTTTAATATTTGGATATTTAATGTGCCAGGAAATCGTCAGAATGGCTCCATTACAAAACTGGAAATTGGCCATCAAAAGGTGGCATTGCCGATGGACTTTCGATACTTGCAAACCAAATAAAATGTCAAACTCACAAGTTATCAATAGAATCATACCATTAGTACTTACTAACATCATTTTTATGGTTCATTTTTAAAAAAAATACAATCTGATGAAATCATTTTATCATACTGCCAAGGTTTGTTTTCATTTCATGAATTTTAAAATCTTGCAAGACCTGCATCAGAATGTGTAGTGATAATCTCTTTTCATCGATATTGCAGTGTTTTCCCTTTATTTCAAAGTAAAGGGTTGAAGATAAATTGTTACAGGCAACTAAAGATTGATATTTATGAACAGAATCTCTGTCAACCTTACAACAATTTTTGATTTGTATTAGCGACATTTTTATCAAATTAAGGGGGCTGGCGGGTAGTGGCCATTTTTAGGCTATATTTATCTCCTTTAGATGAAGAGCTCCATATGAAGATATAGAAAATGATCAAATTTTAAAACTAAAATTTTTGAAATTTTTCTTGCCAAATGATAGTTGACAGCTTAAGATATCATATCTAAAAAATTAAGTTAAATCTGGTGGTTAATTTGTGGTTAATTTGTTGACCCCCCAGCCTCCTTAATTGAAATGGTAAAAATGGACAGAAAGGGAAAGTAACCTTGGTGTTTTACATTCGAATACGGAATTAGAACACGTTTTTTTAAAATTTATAATAAGCAGATGTTTTAAATAGTAGAAAAATCCCGAGGTTTACGAATGTGTTTTTGCATTCTGTCGATTATAATCAATTGTCCTAATGAGCGCGTTTGGATTATTTTTAGTCTGAAATGTGTATTGCAGAGGCCCCAAGGGGAAAATTCAAGCATAGGGTCTTAGAAGAATCATTACTTGACAGATCCGAGGCGGTGAGTCAGTAAAATAAGGAAAAAATAATGAAAACAGAGGTTGAAGCGAGGAAGGGGTCCAAAATAGCGTCCTCACTTGTGTAGTTTTATCATTACCGTATATGATTTTTAAAATAAATATAATGATTACTAGCTGCAGATCTGTAGCGTTATGGTTTTATATATTTGTCTTTGACCATAACGCTACAGATCCCGTAGTGCAAAAAAGGTGCAATTTACGGCGCAATATTTTTTGCGCTCTTTTGGGGAGAATTTCTCCACTTTGAAGCATCGTTCAATCAACTACCTTTCAACCCCTAATTCTAGACACATTATTTAACTGGTAGACAGACTACTCGGCCCAACGACACCTCGGCCCGTGCTGGTTGACACCTCAGCCCTGACAGGTCGGCTCAATATCATTGACACCTCGGCCCATACCAAAGACTGCTCGGCCCGTTAGGAATAAAATTATATATTTAGTTTGTTTAAATTAGTTTAAATTTATCTGGTTCTTTCTATGCCACGGTAATGTAAATTTGTACTATGAATATTTAATCACTATACTTATACTATAAATATACGATAATTTCAATATTTCAGTATTTTCTAACAAACCACAGCACAACATCAAATTACAATCCGTTGATTGGGAGGTACATGTAATAGGTCTACACAGAAGTTTATGCCCTGGTCCGCAAGATTTATTGATTTGTTTATTTTTGATATATATATTTTACTGTTTAATCGTGAAAACTCATATTTTTTTTTCAAATCAATTCAATAAAATATTAACAATGTAACAATTAACAATTATGGCTTCTCGTAATTAACTCCTCATAGTCACCACCCCCTATGTCTTCTTGAAAACTTGTTTAGTGATTAGCACTTATAATCAAGTTACTATAAATGGATTGTCTTTCTTTAATTACCGTCAATTTGCTTTCTTGGAAGATTGCAAATGTATCAAATTAATTTTCTTTTGCATTTCAAAGATATATAACAGCATAAATAATAAATATATTTAAATAAAATATTATATTTCTGTTTGGGCTGAGGTGTCTTTTACGTGAGCCGAGGTGTCTGCAAATTTGGGCCGAGCCGTGGGAGCCGAGGTGTCAATGGGCCGAGGTATCGTTGGGCCGAGGTGTCGTTGGGCCGAGCAGTCTGACATTCATTTAACTAATCTGTATATTTTATCCATCTCCCAACCCTTTATAGTCGTCTCTACAAGTGATAAACTCGCTTGATTAAAATTATTTGTTAGATTACTGAAAATTCACTTCCAGCGAGTTTATTGCCTGTAGAGAAAACTATAAATGGTTGGGAAGTGGATAAACTATACATATTGGCTACAGAATGTGTCTAGAATTAGGGAGTGAAAGGTAGTTGATTGACCAATGTTAGAAAGTTGAGAGATTCTCCCCAAAAGAGCGCAAAAAATATTGCGCCGTAAATTACACCTTTTTTGCACTACGGGATCTGTAGCGTTATGGTCAAAGACAAATATATAAAACCATAACGCTACAGATCTGCAGCTAAATGATTACACGCTGGGAGCAAGCCCCTGTGCTTGCAATCAAATCAAAAGGAGCAAAAATAAATCAGGGACGAAATATTTACTGCATTCTGAAAATACCTCTTTAAATAGTTAGAAACGTTTGTCTCTTAGTATTTCTTAAAAAAGGTAAAGAAATGTCAATATCCTGAACCTATAATCTTTCGATGAGTGTTTCCTTGGATAAAGACTGGTCTTGTTTCCTCGTATCGTCTAGGAATTCCTTTATATCGTACTAAACTGTTCGTTGAGGACAAAGCTGGTAAGCTTAGAGAAACGGGATCAGTCATTGTCAATAATTTAAAAACACAAATAAAGGCACTAAATTCGAAAAATTCTCAATACCATCTCGATATCTAAAATTTGGTGCCTTGGAACTCCTACGGATGTTATTACGCTGCATAAAACAGAAACAGAAATAAATGAAAGATCTTTATTGTTTCAACTTTTAGGGTATAAAATGTATCAAGAATTTAGCAAATATTTATAATAACACTATGAAATATGTCAATACCGCGTGACAAATATTTTGAGGACTATTGTTTTTTTGCGTATGAATATATATTAGCGTCCCATGTTGCTACTGGAGAGATCACGAAATTTGCGAGACTGCACGAGATCATTGACGTCATTTTCTCGGGAACTTGTGTGAACGGTAGGTGAGTAGGTGAAAGAAAAGAGTCGAAGAATAATAATGACATAGGCCTATATTATAGATAGAAAATATCTATAACGTGATGTGGTAACTTTTTAATTAGTTATTATTACTGATGGTAATTTGTTTAATTGTACATTTGACGTCAGTTACGTTAACCATTCAGAACATTGTATGTTTCATTCAACCACGTGGAAAGAAATATGAAATGATGTTATTTAATTGTCTTGTCATTCTAATATAACACTCCAAAATGAAGTAGTTATAGGTATATATTTAATATTTAATGCTGTGATAAATCATAATTCATTTATAAAATGTCAAAAAGATGCCCCACACAACGTGACACGAGGTCCACGTGGTGGCCTCGCCCATTGTTTTAAGTGGAAACATGCTAAGTCTGTTTATGAGCAGAATAATAGAAGTTTTATTCATGGTCCACGTGGTGGCCTCGTCCATTGTTTTAAGATTTAGGGCCCTAAGTATAAGAAAGTTATAAAAACAAAAGATGATCTTATAAATTGAACCGTAAAGTTAAACTCTTATCAGCTTATATGGGCCTAATGCATAATGATCAATGATATTCTTTTAAAAATCAAGGAATCTATATAATTTTCATTGGTAGAGAATGCACTAATTTATGTACCCCCATTTGAAGAAATCCAATAGTTTGTCTTTTTTAGGTGTATTTAATAGAAATTTTGTATATAGTCTTAGTGCAAGGAAGCTTTCATTTAAGTTTTTTAGTTTTGGATTTTGGAAATTGTATCTGTTTTAGATGAAGCATCGCAGCTTTGAAAGAACATTTTTGATACAATTAAAATATTGTTGGTACAATACGTTTGGAAGCTTATTTTTTTTTCAATTTCAGTTTGTTTCTAGTTTTGGATGGGTTTCCGGTGAAATTGTATTATTTTGAAGTTGTTATTTATTTTCAAATCCTATAGCAGTCTTTTTCTAAAATAACTTTTTTGTTATGTTATTTATTCCTAAACAAAGAAGTAACTCATTTGAGTTAATGCTTAAAAAGTAGAATGCCTATTAGTTTTGCAAAAAAACATTAATATTTTGAGTTTGCTGCTGATTTAAGATGATTTAAGGCTAACAAAATTGTAAATATATGTACTTCTTTTAATAGACTGAAACAAACTTAATATCTCCAGAGGAGATATGATGATATTAAGAAAATAACATGATATTTTTCAAGGAAAATAATCCCATTTCATTAACATTTCAGCAATTACCATGGTGCCAACATTGAGACTAATTTTCCTAAAATCTTTGGATATTACTGTACAATCTCTATGTCTTACAATTTTTGTGCAAAGCTGTAGATTTTTGTGCAAGAGTTTTAAAGTTAGGTGGGTTAAGGATGAAATAATTGAAATAAGGCCATCCTTAAAAAAATGTTTGTTTGGAATTGCTGCCTGCACACCCAGGAGAAAAATTTATTATATTTTTATTTTTTTACAAATTAAAGCTTATTAATAGAAATATATAACAGTTTCACATTTGGTTAATATCATTTTTGTCTAAAATATACACCAGGGCTCTCACACCACTTTTTGTGGGGCCAAAATTTTATCGTCATTTAAAAGTTGATAACCAAAATTCATTTTTAAAAATCCTCAAATTTTGCTTTTCTAGCATTTTATCATCAATTTAACTCTGGTTTTGAATAAACAGTTAGGTAAATAGAACAAACATGGGTACGTAGGCTATTTATGAAAGTAAATTAGCTTTGTCATAACTATTTTTGAGTGTTGATATTGCGGTTATATGTCTTCATTTCTGAGTGACAGTCGCTATAACACAACAATTTCCTCGATCACATGGGAACTTTGCTTACCAATACAATTATATTTGTTTCTAGGTGCAGCTTACTAATGTTTAAATGAAATGTCTATTTTTAAAACCAAAATGTTTTATGTCGAAACTACATGACAAGATACTCTGCACTCACAGTTAGTACATATTTTTGTAAAAACAAAAACCTGGTTCCCAGAACCAGTTTACGAATGCATTTGGAGCAAACTATTAAAATAGTAGTACAGTTTCACTTTCATTTGCAAGTTTGTTTCATTTGGGGTTTTTTTTGCGATTAAGTTTCATGGACTTTTATTTTCTAATTAAAATTTTGCTATTGAAATTGGGAAATTTACACCTTTCTTTTAAAAAAAGGTACCTTTTTTGCATTTGTATATCTTCAGATTTATAACACAGAATGGTACTCAAGTATCAATCTTTCTTGATGTTCGATTTGCTTATCTATTAAAAGTCAAATTTCATGTTTTTTCTTTATTTTTAAAATCTTTCTAAAACAATTTCTTTACAAATCTTTTTAAAACAGTTTCATTAGTGTATTTCATAGCATTTCTCTTTGAAATTTAGCCCTTCACAAAATTTCTTAAGAATAGTTTGTTTCTGGAAAAACAGGTTGCTTGTATGTTCAATTTTCGCCATGAATCAGTTTTAACATTAGGTTTCAAAGACTTGTTATACTGACAGACAACATTTTTCCTTTTGTATTTGGGAATAAACATTTCTGACCCATGTAATTTTTTATCTGGGAACGGAACGATCATTTTTAATTTCTCAACATGACGAACGTATCCTACCAAGTTCAAAGGGCAATCTATTACAATAGCTCTTTCCAGGTATCGATTCCATTTAATTTTTTATTCACCTTTTATTTTTATGAAATGCATAAATGTTCTGGTCTTCAACGCTTGAATGTTTTCACATCCACTGATCCAACTTGGTCTGACATTTTGGCGGCTTTCATTATCTATATCATAAATACTATGAAGAAAGCATTTTATTGACCTGTGTTGTTAAATTTATGTGAGCTCAAACCCAACTTTAAAAAGCTATTTCGAAGAACGAACTAACTTGTAAAAAGCGATGTCGGACGTATATTTGCAACATTTTGCCATAAAATTTTATAATTTCAAAGGAATTCATAAAACTAATTTTATAAGTTATACTTTGTTGGACTTCAATGTGTTAAATGTTAAAGATAGATTACTTTTCCTGTCATGAACCATCTACCAGTACTTAATAACCCAAGCACAGCATGAATAAAGCTATTCAGATGCCAGTAGGTTTGCAATAATGAGTAGTAAAGTATCAATAACAGGAATAAGTTACTGAAGAAAAGCATAATCAGGGGAAGATAACCCAAAATGTTGACATTTAATAACTGAAACAAATTATTTCAAAAATAACTTGTTTCCATGATGCCCTTGACTGATTAGTTTAAAACTTTTAATATACATGGTAAAAAAATTCGCCGATTTTGAATTGGCATAAAGTTTTCACATGCCTGAATCCAAGCATGGCTGCTAGATTCAACTACCTAATCGGACAGGACATTGTATCTTGCAATTTCTAATTCAAACTGGTATAACTGATTTGTCAGTATATTTTGTCACTAAACACATTACTGCGGAGAGTCATGCCATCAACTTCTCTTATACAAAATTTACCGCGTTCGACAGCCATGTTGGATTTCTGATACATATATTCAACATCACATTGACGCTTTTAAATGAAAACTGTTTGATCAATCAAGCGTTTACATGATTCTTTTCTGTTTTCTATAATACTCAAACGTTCAGACAGCTAAATCCGGATATATAGGACGAAAAAAAAATTACGATCCATATCAGCTGAAAAAATTTCTTCGGACCACAGAGAATTACCTGAGTCGGCCGGCAACGCCAAACAAAGCTAACTTTATTTTTGGCCTGATCAGCAGTGTCCCCAAGGTGTATATCAATAGCTAAATCTGTCAGGAAGAGTTAGTGTTAATTTCCAGACATACATTATGAAACACTATCATGAGATTCTGACTGTGAAAGTGTTAGTCCAAGCTGTCTGAATCTCAGATGAGAATAGGTTGAACCAGTCATCAAACAAATCATTCCAAAGTGTGACCCCAGAGATAGGAAACTTAAGTCAAATGCATTTTGATAATTTTTATTGAAAAATTCATATGCTGTCCATGTCTTTTTAGATAATTGACAACAGTTCACCTTCAAGATGGATCGAGATCCAGACATAACCTCTGTTGTGTCATTGGCAGAGTTTGAGGAGTTTAACCCGGCAGAATTACCACTTAATTTTGATATGCCTGACCTAACACCTTGTAAGTATATAGGGATGTTCACAGAGGATAATTTTTATCTTGATGTCCTTTTTTAAAAAAAAAAATAGTGCATTGATTCCTCTTTAGTCTCTCAGTCATGTTTGTATAAATTTTTAATTATCTCTTTTAGATAATGATTCAGTTGGTATAGAAGCTGCTGATGTGGGAAGCCTACTAGAACAGTTTGAAGAAGGTTTTAACCATACCATTTTATAAATCTATTTTCCCATTATTCACATCTTCTCCAGTTTGTTCAACTTTTATGTATGTTTTATCCTCATTTCAGCATCAAATTCTTTATCTGGATTTGAAGATCTCAAAATGAGCAAGTAAGTTAAAATTCTTTTAAGAATTATTAATTTTAACATAGTCCTAGCAATATTGAAGCATTCAAATACTGCATTCAAGGTCAATAATTATAAAGCCAGTTATAGCTAAGTTTAAAATTTCACCCCAAAACAGCAGGCAAAAGGTGAGCATTGTGGCCCATGGGCCTTGAGTAAACAAGTTTAACGATTTCATTAAATTGACATTCATGCATTTGATTTAAAGGAAAAAATTTGTATTTGTAGTGAAACAAAAACCATTGAAAAATTAGCAGTGTCAATAATCCCAGAGAAATGTAATAGCAAAGATGCGCTGCACAAGATCAAAGCTTTAAATAAAAGGAAGTCGGTAATTCTTTTGCCAATGGGGATGCCGTCAAAAAGGGGGCGTGGCCAGGCTATTGCATTAAAGCCTACCAGTACCACTCCCAGACTGCAACGAATACTACAGAAGTCGTCCGCAGAAGTGAGTCAATCTATACTGGAGTCCATGGAAAAGTATTCCCCAAAGAAACAGCCAGTATGTACTGCCTCTGACATTCTGGCAGAAGAGAAAACTTCAGTGAATAAAAATTACTACAGAGACATCTTGGATCATGACTACTGTCAGAATGTCCCCAGATTAGAGAGAAACAAAACGCAGTCAAACTTAAATTGTCATCCAGGTGATGTTCTGGACTTGGAAGATGGAGAGATCATAGACGAATTTGATGATGTGGAGAACGAAAAAGATAAAAACTTGACAAATTCCACATCAGATGGTTTCAAAAATAGACAAAATCTTGCCCTTGCTAAGGATAATGTCTCAAATAAACCAAGTGATTCACAACAGAAAGGACAGAAGTTTAGTGGCAGGAACTATAGAAAGAGAGACGAGAGTCCAGTTGGTAAGGAAGATGATAAATTCTTTGATAAAATTCCGTCCTACTACACAGCCTTGTCACTGAATGGCGTCAAACAGTCCAAATCTAAAAAGGAAAATATCGCTCCAAAAGAAGATAGCAATGGAGGGGGCATTACTATTCAGGACTTCTTTGAGCCAAATCCCATGCCTCAGGGAGACAGCTCAGTTTACAGTAGACTACCAGCTTATCATAGCTGTTTCACAAATAGTACTAAGTATGACAACAACGATGTCTCCTTGGAGAGCAAGTCAAGCAGTGGATACTCAAGTAGAAGCCGGTCTCCCTTTATGAACCATAGATCAAGTTCAAGGTCAGCCAGTAGAAATTCAAGTAGGTCAAGGTCAAGGGATCGTGACAGGAGAGGAAGAAGGAGGAGGAGAAGTGGTACTTATGATTCCATTGTATCCAGATCTCGATCCAGGTCATATGGATCTTCATACTCAAGGTACAGTTGACGCCTTTATTAACTTTTTTATTTCCGACTTAATTTGACATAAAAAGGAGTACTGGGTAATTTAATTTTTGGACTTTCAATTAACCTGATACTGACAGTGGAGTATGTGATGAGATCATAGTTCATCAGATTCATGTGAAGACTTTACAAATGTCTTTCGTTCCTAGCTGATACTCACTGCTCATTAAGATTACAAAAGAACTAAACTCAATGAAAATAAATAATATATGTATTTTTACCCATTGTAGGTCATCTCGTTCAAGATCTCGGTCATATTCCCGGTCAAGATCAAGGTCATACAGCTCAAGATCTAGGTCTTCATCTGTTTCCAGCAGGTGAGTTTAATTTTAGGGTTAATTAATGGAAATTGGGACATTTTAAAGTTTTCAGAGTTACATTATTTCATAAGAATCACCATTACTTTGAAAGAGGAAAAAATATACAGTGTATAGGAATAATTTTCTTGAAATATCAGAAAAAAAGGTGAGACTGTTTGATTTTTGTTACATTTAAATTTTTTTTTATTATATATGACAGGTCTAGAAGTCGGAGTAGAAGCTACAGTAGACATAGAGAATACAGAAGTAGAAGTCGAAGCTTGTCACATGAGAGACGTCTGGCAGAACGCCAGAAACGTAGAGAGGAAGAGAGGGCACAAAAAATGGTGAGACGGAAAAAATAATAAAATTAGAAAATCTATTTTAAAAAAGAACTTAAAGAATTCAAGATTTCTTTATATTAATATAATAAATTTTATAGTAGCTGTTTTTTTAACTATAACCCTCAGTCTATGCGAAAGTTAAAAATTTTTACAGGACAAAATGTCTGGTAAAAATAAAAATTTTACCAGACCAAACAATTTCTTACCAGACCAACATTTTTTTCCTTTAAATCCATACATCATTATGATACTGAGATTGAGAGGGTGGGTGGGATGGGGTTAATTCTCACTGTGAAATTTAAGCATAAATAAATTCAGAGTGAAATAGACAAGTTAACTATTTATAATTTTTCTTTGTAAAAGGTATCTATTAATACAATTGCATGCATTTTTTTTCATATTTGACTTATACAACATACACTGTATCAAAGATTTTCTTTATAAAATTTAATATGCACTTTCAGTGTATATTTATATTCATTATGGTTACTCAAGTTCAATGATCATTTAAAATAATTTCCCAACCGAATCTACGTATGACTGTATGAGCTATAAATCTTAGTCATTGACAGAGGAAATTCAAATTAGAATAAAAACAATCATGACAGGGTTGTAATACATAAAAATTAATCAGGTATTACTTCTAAATTGGTCAAATAAAGGATATTTGTGGGGAATTTGACCATGTGTACCTCTTAATTTAGATTTATTTGGCCTTAATTTTTATCGGACATTTGGTCCTGTATACTGAAATTTTTTACCTACCCGACCTAAATTTTACCGGTAAAAACCGACGGTCCGGTGACTTTCGCATAGACTGAACCCTCATAAATTTCTTTTATTTATTTGTTGAAAATCTTAATGATATATTGCTTGAGAAATTAAGTGACAATGAGAAGTTTGTTAAGTTCTCAAAACTCACTCAAATGATTATGTTTTCTATGCAGAAAGACAGAAGAATCATTTATGTGGGGAAAATTCCAAACAACTACTCTAAAAGACAGCTGAGGAAAAGATTTGAGTGTTTTGGAGAAATAGAAGAAGTTAGTGTCCATTTCAGGGAGTGTGGGTGAGTCAATTTTAGGTTTTACTGATTTTGCTCAAGTTGTTTCCATATGAAGCAGTGATGTATGTGATGAGATCATAGTTCAGCAGATTCATATGAAGACTTTACAAATGTCTTTCGTTCCTAGCTGATACTCACTGTTCATTTGATGGAGAACCACAATATTTGTCAATTTATTGATATCATGCATTTTCATGATCAACATTCAGGAAAATTAGCAAATCAGTGTTGATTTAGAGAAAGCTCAAATATGGAGCTCTGGATCTGCAACTTTTTGAAACAAGAGGCCCATGGGCCTTATAGGTCACCTGAGCATCATGCAACAACTTTACAATGATTGACATTGGTTCATGTTTTAAACTAGACACCATGACATTCACAATTTTGAAAAAGACATCATAAGTATACACTTAGCATGTTTGTTTGGTTACTTAACCACTTTGTGGAAATTGTTTCGACTAAAAAATATAAGAATAATCAATATGGTGCCACTACCATACCCTTGGTCCACACATTTCAAATTTTGGAAAAGGCACCCTGATTATCAAAAATATTTGATTAATACAAAGTAGAAGGTTTCAATTTAATTCATTTTCAGTATATAAAAAACATTTACATTTAAATGGGTGTGGAAATTCACAATTCAGGAAGAATGGCCCTTGCTCATCATAGCTATATAGGTAGTTCATCTGCTTAATCCCCAGGAGCAGAGAAAAAGATTTTCAAACAATTTTTGCATTTTCTCTATATAACCAATAGAACCCTGCCCTAAAAAGGTGGCTGACCCTGGGGCCATAAAATTCAAAAGGCATTCTATCATGACTATGTATTTTTGAGTTTATTTAATACCCAGGAACAGAGAAGAAGATTTTAAAAGAAATAATGTATTTTCTCTATATAATCAATAGAGCACCCTAACATTTGACCTTTGTTTTGGGGCCATAAAAATTCACAATTTTGTGAAGTTCTTCCTCATCATAACTATGCTTTGTTAATTTATTTAATACCCAGGAGTAGAAAGTTTTCAACAATTAATGTACTTTCACTATATGATCAGTGAAACCCTAACACCAGAACCCCTGACCCTGGGGCCATAAAAATTCACAATTTTGGAAGAGTCATTCTTCCTCATCATAACTATATCTTTTGTTAATTTATTTAATACTCAGGAGTAGAGAAGAAAATTTTCAAAGAATTAATGTACTTTCACTATATAATCAAGGTTGTAAATTCATTCACAATTTTGGAAGAAGCATTCTTGCTCATCATAACTATATACTTAGTTAATTTGTTGAATACCAAGCAGCAGAGAAGAAGATTTTCAAACAATTTCTGCATTTTCTCTATATAATCAATAGAGCCCCACCCTAACACCAGAACCCCTGACCCTGGGGCCATAAAATTCACAATTTAGGAAGAGGCATTCTTGCTCATCATAACTATATACTTGGTTAATTCTTTGAATAAAAGTTACTTCAAACAAATTTGCATTTTCTCTATTTAATCCATACCATAGCTACATGTAAACGACATTTTACAATTCTTTCTCATCGTAATTATGTCTTTATTAGTTTATTTAATACCCAAGCAGAGAGTAAGTTTTTAAAAAATTGTTAAATTTTATATAATAATTAATTAACACAATTGCAGCTATTAATAGTCTCTAAACTATATACTTAGTTAATTCAATGACTTTCCAATATGCTATATAATCGATGAGTGCCACCCTGTGTACCCGATATCTTCACAATTTTGGTACAACGCAGCGAATAACAGTTTGACTGCTTGATGTCCAGGAAATAAAACTTTTTATTGCACTAATTTTAGTGGTTTTGGCCCCACCCCAATCCCAAGGGACCATGAAATTCACAATTTTTGTTCCACACTTCACCCATAGATGCTTTGTGTAAAATTTGGTATTTATTTGAATGATTTTTTAACACACCAAAATGTACGATAAAACTACATGAACTAACATGCATGATAATGCAGGATATACAAATACACGTGGTAACATTATTTACGATATGTGGGAATAATTTTCAAAACCCAGAGAGCCCACGTTGTTTTGATTGATGAAACATTTGTAGCGTTGGCTATTAAAATAGCTTTTGTGAACAAACACAAAAATTATTGATTACATGTGATTTGAATTAAAGAAAGCGTGATAATTTAAAATTAATTGAATGCCAGTAACTATGGCTTTGCAATTACTGAAATGACCATGGACTGCACGAAAATCACCTATATAAAAAAGGTCTAATGCAAAAGAAACCAATTAATTTGTTATTTTTGCTCAATTTTCCAAATAAAACATGGAGATTACCTTTGTTTTGGTGGCAAAATTTTGTGAAGTGGAATATGCTGATTTAGGTACTGAATGTACAATTGGATTTGTTAACACCGTGAATATAGGGAATTTTTATTTTCTTTTCTAATCATCTCCTGAGGAATATTTTTTGAGGTTGTAAATTCATGATTAAGAGGTACCCTCAAAATCTAGGAAAATCAAACTTCATTGAAATACATCGATAATGATTCCTCAAGAAAAGACGTTTGCTCAGATGTAAGTCATTGAATAAAAAATGTGTTTTAATTACAGATGGGAAAAATGAGGTGATTGAAGAGTACTACCCCCTTGTTAGGAAGAGTGATCCTTTGGACTTTGATTCACTTCTACAACAAGCAAGGAAGTTAGCCGAAGAAAAGAAGAAAAAAGCTTTATGATACCAGAGTCGCAACTCATCAGGAAACCATGTCTTTCATTTATGCAAACAGTAAATCAACAAGTTAATAGGACTTATTGTGTTCAGAATAAGAATTTTCATGTTTTGGTGTTAAACACTTTGTCTCAAAGACATCTTCAATGTTTATGAATCTGGTATTGTAAATGTGTGGCTTAGGTCTTGTATAGATACAATCTGGCGAAATGATCAACAAATTTTCTTGTAATGAAGAGATTTTTGTCTGGTACATGTATTCACTTGTTTGCTCAGATAACAAATTTTCTGAATGAAGAGGATTTAGTTGGTAGATTCTCCTTCAGTATATAACTTGGCACACAAGTAGACTACACTAAGATACATAATTCTGTTTATCGGTTTTTGATTTTGATTAACGGTGTTGCCGTGGTTACTAAAAATAGAAATTTCTGTGAAATTCTTTCAAAATGCTACTCCTCCTACAGTTTTGGTCTGATTTCAGTTTCGTAGATTTATTTTGGTTGAGTCTGTTATTTTTTGACTTGTGGAATAAAGGGGGAAATTTTTGTCAGTAGACATTATTTGGTAAGAGTGGGAAGTACATGTACATATCACTTGTTTGCATCAGATAACAAATTTTCTGGTAATGAAGAGGATTTAGTTGGTAGATTCATTTTGGTTGAGTCCGTTATTTTTTGACTTATGGAATAGAGGGGGAAATTTTTGTCAGTTGACATTATTTGGTAAGAGTGGGAAATAAATGTACATATCATTTGTTTTGCATTAGGTTAAGAATATTGTTGCTTGTATCTTTTTATTCCTTTACACTGCTAAGTTTTCAAGATGCAAGGTGGCTGAGGAGTCGCCCATTTGCAAATTGTCTTCTTTAAACAGCAAACCGTTTAAGACATTCAAGTATTTAATGATCTTCAAAGTTTGGTCTTGTTCAGAATAGTGCTAAATTCTTGACACTTTCAAATTGTTTAAATTGATTTTTTTAAAAAGTGTCATTACTAAAGTTTTATGTGTCGCTTAAAGTTTGAAACTGTACATCCCCACTTTTAGAAACTTACTGATTTTAAATAGTGCTTGCTTCCAATTTTGTGATGCAAATCATTATTAAGTGTCAGATTTAAGTATTTGAGATCAATAATGGTTTTCTGTAAAACTTAACACTTGCATGGTCTGTAACAAAATATGCATTTTCAAAATATCATGTATATGACATTTAACCTAAACATTATTCAGTTGTTTTATTCAGTTGTATGCTACTGCGAATAGTGACAAATACAGTTTTCATTCATACATGTAGGTTAGTGCTAGATTGTGGTCTTGGTACTATCAACATGGTTGTAAAAATTCATCAAAGATGGATAATAATAAATTTGAAGAATAATTACGCATGAAGGAAGAAATCACTGCATAATTTAAAAAATAATTTTTTTTTTAAACTTCATATCTCTGATACACGTATGTGTCATGTAGGGCCAGATCACATTTATGAAATGCCAATATTTGTTTTTTTATGCTTAATAACTCACTTGTTTTCAATATAAAGTATTGAATATTAATGTTATGGGGTCTCTGATTATTTTTTCCTTATCCCTAAGTGACTTGAATGACAGTATTTTTCATTCTGTAATTTCATGTTTCTCTCCTCTAATGATCACCAAATTTCAATGCATTTTTGATGAAGTACAATAGTATCTTTGAAGTCATAAGCCTTATCTATGCTCAGTATGTTATGTCGTTTCTAAATATATGTACTGACAGTGCTGTTTTGACTTTGAGGAAAAAATTATTATATAGAATGTTTTGTAAATACAACTTAATCAACAAAAAGTGTTGCAGTTTTTTGATTTTGTTCTTTTTATAAGTATTTATATAAGTGAACTTTATTTATACATTTTTCAGAACCGTGTTTTGTAACTTCCTCCATTGCAAGTTTCAGTCTTTGATTTATTTTTTTGACATGTTTTGTTCCTTGGATATGAATGCTTCACCAGATTTTGTTCGTTGCCATAAGCAGTAATTGCAATTTTGTGTGTGGTTTGTGTTAATACATATAAATGGCATTTTTCTAATTCGGAATGTTTCTAACCATTGTGCCATTAATAACCACTCTGTCGCCATTTATAAATTTTTTATTCAGTCTCTGGTTATTTCATTAATATACATTGTATGTTCCTATTCCTATCTGCTATCAGCAGATATTTATTTTTATGATGTGCTGAATTATCAGAATTGTTACTTACTTTTGAGCAAACAAATTTAATTAATTAACAATTACATATAGAGGTATTCAAATATTTGAATATATTTACTTTCCTGCAGTAGTGCTGATGGTTCTGATAAAATTATCATAATTACATGTACTGTTATGGATCATTTTGTATCAATTGTACTCATTATTACATTATTTAGTGCCACCCCATCAGCTTACATATATTTTCCCAGAAATAACAATACCAAGTAAAAAATATTTTGAGATTTTTTGACTGCCATTCTGATCTTTCTTCGAAAACAAATAAAACTAAAATGCATTTGTTGTTAGTTGAATTTTTTTAATAAGTGTTAGAGGAATCAAATTGTATATAAAAATATGAATGAGATGATGAAATATCTTAATCAGGGAAATAATGTTTGCAAAAAGACAATTACTACAATTTTAAACTGCATGGCTCAATATTGGTTGTAGCATTTACTTTTGAGTTGCTGAGTAAGGAATTAAATTAGATTTTGTGGTTGTATAACATCCCTTTGGGGAATTTTCACTCATATTGAGAATTCATATCTTGCTAGTGAAGGGCTACAAACTTAAACCTGTACTCGGTGCTTAGGGCCTTTGGGATGTAAAGGACCTTTCATAACTGCACCTTGTATAGTTTACAGGGTCTCTTGGGAAGGACCACTGATCTTAGGCATTTTAATTTCAAAAATGACCTTAGGCTTTTTAATTTCAAAAATAATATCTAAAAAAAAATTGAAAACCAACCTTTATAGATTTTTATCCCCTCGCAACGGAGTTGGAGGCGTTATAGTTAGAGAACTTCGTGTGTTCGTTTGTGAGTAAGTTTGCACTGGACGAAACAAAAGTTAATTTGAATCGGGATTGAAGTCAAATACAGACTTGACTTGTAGGAGGTGCAAAATGGCACTATGTAACAAAGATCTTGTGAAAGTCTCATTAAATTTTATTCAGTGGTATAGGAGGAGTTGCGGATGAGAGATGGGTACATGTACCCAAAAGCAAACTTCTAATGATCATATATAGGTTCATGTAACTTACTTTGCAAGAATGAAGTCCATACTGTGTCTCATTAAGGAATGATAAGGTGTAAAATATATTCAGAACAAAAAAAATGAAAAACATTTATTCATAAGTATTTCAGACAACACAGCCTTCAGATAATTAATTATAAAAAAAAAAAAAATAACTGCAGATTGCATGTGCAAGGTTCCCGGACCCAGGGATCCTCAGATGACGCTCAGCTGTGGATCTGGAACTGAAAAAAATGTTCTTATCCTCCAGAAGACCTTATCTTAATTAACAAACCTTTCAATAATAAGAAACAAGTACCCGTAAAAATGCATATACGACCCGTATACATGAAATAAAAACTTTTTTAAAATTTGTTTTCAGAGGTATTATTTTAAAAGTATACATAATCTAAATTTGTAATAAATTAAAATGTCAGTTTTAGTAAAAGGAAATAGTTTTTGAGAATAAAATAAAAGCACTAGATGAAAACGGACTGAAAACTGAAAGTTTGATCGCATATTTGACAAAGTATTATTTAAGCCAAAGTTACATTATGTTGACGACGAAGCTTGAGAAGATAAAAAAAAATTGAGGGGGGGGGATAACCATTTTAATTATATCCTTTGATTATGTAACGGTGGCATCAAAACGAGGGGGCGATCACACTTTGACCGACTCAGAAGTCATATCAGGGGTGTTCACCACAACTTCCGTGTCTATTTTTGACAGGTTTGCGTCACTGTAAGATTTTGTAGTTGACGTGTGGGGTGTTTTCCCAGATATGTCATAATCATAACTGCTGTCTGCGGACTGGAGACTCTCCGACTTCAATGCCCTTATACACCTCTGAAAAAAACCAAAGATGTAGAAGTGTAACTTTGATTTAAAAACATATTGCCATTGTAATGCACTGAAGAAAATTTAGATCATGCTTGTATGATTAAATATGATATATTTGGTTTGTGTTTTACAGAAACTAGGTATTGAATGCAGAAAAGGAATTAGACGACTTAGTTGGAGTACATATATTTATAAAAGTCCGTAAAAAAATAAGTGATATTGTCTGAAATTTTTACGCTATATATATAGAAACGACTTCTAAGTACATGTATCTAAAAAGCATCACTTATTTCCACGCGTAAAAAAGTCGAGGTTCGCGTGATACATAAGTGTGTTCATCGTCGAATACCGAAGGGTGATCTCATCTTTACTCATCACCCAGGTGCAGGATGAGTAAAAACGAGATCAACCGTAGATTTCCGACGATGTGGTATGATAGTGTATGCACGCATGTAAATCCCTTTTCCAGCTACACGCAACTGAGACAACCCGCGTGTCGCTTAAATTTTTCATTTGTTCTATGCATAATTTAATGTATTCCTGTAAAGAATGTCGACCTCCTGAACTCACAAAAGTATATTTTTATTCCATATATATAACTTTTTATCAAATGGGCCTATAGTTTTAAATTATTTTCAGGAGTCGGTTCTCGGTACTATTAGTACTTCGATTTTCTGCATAAAATTGTATTTTTACGAGTCTATTTTGTCAAGACGGAAGGGAAAATAAACTTGTGTGACAATTATTTACTCATTCGAAATATACTCAGTTATTAACAATTACACTTTCAAACTAATTCGATATAATATGGGAAAAACTTTCAAAAAGCTCTAAGGTACTTCTCTGAATGATCCTTTTTCGGAGTAGACAGCATGAAAAGCACCAATAATGAAACCTAGGACGATTGGTCCGATAGCTATGAACCATCCCAAACACTGTCCACCCTCATCCGACTTATTGTCTGATCGTGGGTCACTGGTGGTGGCCGGGAAAGGGTACACGTAAACAGCGAAATAGTAAATCAACATAGCCTACAAAACATCGATATAGAAAACCAACATTGCCTACAAAACATCGACATAGTAAACAACATAGCCTACAAATATCAACATAGCCTACAAAACATCGATATAGTAAACCAACATAGCCTACAAATCATTGATGTAGTAAACCAACATACCATCAAAGCCTACAAAACATCTATATAGTAAATCAACATAGCCTGCAAAACATCAATATAGTAAATCAACATAGCCTACAAATATCAACCTAGCCTAAACATCTATAAAGTAACTGTATCACGTTTACATACCGCTATGACCAGGGAAGACAATCCATGCCAAAGACTCATCAACGCCCGCTCCAACAGCAAGTACACCATATTCTGTTTAACTGTACAAAGCGAAAGAATCATGGAATGTCAATTCTATCATGATGAAACTAATAGTTTTAGTTAAATTTAAGTGATTTTCACTAAGGTATTAACTGTCTTTAAAAGAATGACCGTCACTCACTGTAGCCGATGACAGTAGGGACGATGCTGACGATGATAACGGTGAAGATCAGACGATCCAGGTAACTATTGACCAACATGTACAGGTAAACACCGCTCTGGTTAAATTATACAATCATGATAAGTCTCAGAGGAACAATCAATTGTTGTCTGTTTTATATACTTTTTCACATGTACATGTAAGAATTTTAAGCCAAGCTTAGACTTCCAAATATTATAGCCATATACTTAGTACTTGCACATTCTTTAATATTTAGTTAACAATTCGTGAGCAAAAACGAATGGAATTGAATAATCTCTAATAAATACTACTTCTATCACATTGTTCATATTCGGTAAATACAATAAGTCAATACCTGAAAGCAGTAGGGAATACAGAACATAAAGGAGAGAAAACATAATATTGCCACCAAAATAGACCTCTTCCTGAAGAACTGCAGGAGAAATGCAGGGAGTGACGTCAAAAGGGCATCCCACACAACCAGCAGATGAAACGTCTAAATAAGGAAATGCATGTATCAGTCAGGAATGAATAAACGAAAATACAGTATAATTTGTCCAATCCGGCTACCGTCGGTTCCATAAAATTTGGCCGGTTTAGACAGAATCCGGAGTGCAGGAAAATATTAATTTTGAAAAAATTTCGTTGTTTATTTACAAGTACATCATATACATAATATAAATATAATTTAATGATGATATCAATTAATATTTTGGAGTCTATAAATTATAAAATAGTCTCATATGACTTATTGTATTTTCGTATTTGTTCACGGAGTTTTAAAGTCGGGTGAAATGTTACCTAAATCAAAATCTACAGGCACGCATAATATAGGCCTACTTTATATCAAGCGGACCGGGTTTCGCTTGTCAAAGAGCTCTTTCAGTGTATAAACAGTAATGCACAATTATTTACGATGTGCTAATTATTGGATTGAACTTTTAATTTTTATGTTAAAAAAAAATACGTCTTCCCTGTTATGGCGCCATTTTGAAATGCGTTCGATTTTCGATCCCGATTTATATTTTGATTTGTGAATCGCGTTTGTGTTCATGATATAATGTTGTAAAAGGAGTTAAAACAAAGTTTTAAAAAAAATTTAATTGTAATTAAATCATAATATTTTTTTCAAGTGGGCTGTGTCTCCGCGCATTTCACTGAGTTCGTCTCATGGCACTAATTATGCTAATGTAAACACGGATTATCACATCCACCACGAAAGGTGTTAATTGCTTTGAAGTAACTTAGGTGTGGCCGGATTAGAGGGAATGATTACTGTTAATTATGAGCAATTGGGACCAGTATGGCCGTTCGGAATACAGAATAGACAGTATCCGGACTACACAGAATTTTTTCTAATGAATTTGTTAAAGAAGTGCATGGGACTAAAATTTATAGACGGAATGGACAAAAATCCGGAGTACCCAGAGTCCGGATTAGACAAATTTTACTGTATATCCACACATAAAAGAGAGAAGAAATACTCCAAATACCGTGACATGCATCATTGTACTTTTGTAGTCATGAATTTGATGCAAGCTGATCCCTCCAAGGAAATACTCAGTATTACAAAGAATGCATTTGCATATTTTACGATTCCAATTGCAATGTGCAATTATACAGAGACATGCAATTGAAATATTTTGCAATTTTATTTTTGCCGACATAAATATGCATTTAAAAAGGATTTCAATCTTCCCTATTTTTATAATATTCATAGATTTTATTTTAAAAAATCATTAAAAATAAAAAGGATGAAGATCACAACGACCAATAAATCAATAAATTTGTAAAGGAGGGCATAACACACGGATCCCTGAAAACTCCAGAGGTGGGATCAGGTGCCTAGTGGGAGTAAGCATCCCCGATGTTGGAACATACTCGGCATGAGCCCTATGTATTGATCAGGTAGTCGGAGTATTCTGTAGTCGAATTTATTATATAAAAACGGATATCTAACAATTTATATCAAACAACTAGGCTAAAATACAACCCAATGACAGGCTTATTTGCTACTAGTTTTAAGGTCATTATAACGTCCATAAAAATTAATTGTTCTCAAAGCAATCTATATAAAGTATCAAATAAGCGGGATAGCGGTGTATTACTATATAGATAAGCAAAGTTGATGATGTAAAAGTTTATAAAGTCATCTCGTTTGTCATACACTTTAGCTGTGTGTTGGCCCTTACAGCCTATTGTCAATTAAACATCCGAATATGAAAGATGTCACAATGATACATACAAGCAAAATGCCTTAACAAGCCTTTACTACTCACAAAAATTATCTACTGCTGTAAAAGAAAATCTTCAGTTGTACGGTGCTACGGGAGATTTAAAAAAGTTGTAGATTTTCACAAACTCAGCCATAAACATAATTACTTTGATGCTCATTCTAATTCTACACACAAATACTCTGAAGTTGATGCGAAACTTATTTTCGAGTTCCTCATGAACATCTATATGTATGCATTCTTTGGGGGTCCTCCAACAAATTATTTGAATTTTGATGAATACCAATTGTGCTCCTTTTTTAGCTGACCCGTTGATATACAGTGTATTCCTATGAAGCAGAATTTATTCAAAACGTCACCATGAAAGGAAAACTCTTGATATGGCCTTCAACTCGACTCACATATATTAGTTGACATTTTATCTTACCCAACAGATTTTTTTTTCTCAATCATACTGTTACATGTTTTACGTCTTCATATGTATGAAAAATCATCGATTATGATGTAAAACAGCACTACAATCAATCATTCAATCCATTCATATTTCGACGTGAAATATCCCAGTGAACTAGAAATCAAAGACATCTCAGAGTCTGTCATGTTTCATATTTGGGTGATTTACTTATTATAGATAATAACATAATTCAAATAAATTGAATAAAAAGCATTCGACCTAAGCATTTCCATCGTCATCCCTTTTCACTTATATAATAATATCGCGCTTTTGCCTGATTCTGTTGTTTATTCAAAACTCAAGAGCATGTTCTGAGTACAACGAATTCCTAAACAAAAGTACAATACTGGCAAATAAGTTGATGATACAAGGATTTCAACAATCTCGTTTATAAAGTCGACAGCATTCCTTTCTTGCATGGGCGTTATAATGACATTTTTAGCAACTATACAGTCTATAATTGGGACGTATTTTGACTGATCTTTTCCATTTCCTAGTTGGGTTATTATTTGCATACCAAATAAAAAGGACTCACGGTGGATGTAACCGTTCAACAGGGTATGCTTTCTCCTTCGGGCACCTAATCCCTGTTCCTTATCTTTATCATCTTTTTATATCAAATATATTTGTATATTTTAATGCTACATTTATGATAATTCTTTCGTACCACGTGAAGTATTCCAAACAGATAGATTCCAAGATACCAACACAAAGCAATTCCATGCACGTGGCGGATTTTACCAAACATTCCAAGAAGGAGGAGATCAAGACCTACAAGACATCAAAGAAGACACAATACGCAATTATTCTAATTAATTTGTTTGTTGAAAAAAACCCTTTTAAGATGTCTTAAAAGTTAGCATTAAAGTTAACACAATATGTACTTACTAAATTTTAACAGGGAAATATATATTTTAAAATTTCTGAAAAACACAAACTTGAACTTTGTTTCATTGCTATTCTCTTTAATTCTTCATATTCCCTTTTGAGGCCGTTTGCCAAAACCAAATTCATGATAAAACTAGCAGCACATACAGTGAACACTAGTTTTTTTTTCCCTCAGATGTCGCATCTAAATTACAGAGTATGAGGTTCCTCTAGACGGCCAAAAATATCTTTCATGTTAATGATGGTTTTCATAGCCGTGTGTAATGGTTTGATGTTAAAAAAAATAGGACTTTCAATTATGTGTCAGTTGAATCGTTTCCAAAACAGATTTTGCTTTGTGTATTTCTTTAAGAACCTACTCCTCAATGAAATCAATCACTTCAACAATTATAAATCAGTGCTAGCACAATCTATTTAAAAGGAAACCCGTGTGTATCATATGATATGATCAAGTAATTGGGATTTATACCTGGCTTCATTCTCTCTCCATACTCAAACATGCCATAACCTGAATTGGTTGAAATGTAAGGAATAGATGCTATACCAAATACCACAGGCAACAAACCATATACAACTAATAATACCACGTTGGCACTAAAAAAAAAACAACCAATTAAAATTGGAAAACATTTTATGCTTATTACTCAAATCTTAAAAGAAAAAGCAATAGTATATAATTTTCTCACCGAACAATCGTATCTTTTTTGTTGTACAGATGAGCACCAAAGGTTGGTAGGACTCCAGACCAAAGTCCCAAAGAATAAATATGAAGAAGCAGGGAATTCATCCATGGCTGAGAAAATTAAATTCAAAGTTTTAAGTATTGTACATTATTATCAACTAACAATACTGTAAAATCAACAAAAATACAGATGTAATATAAGCAAATTAGATTTCGTTTTTCACGTTTTCAGTTCTTTAATCTTTTTGTGAACATAAATATCCGCTATCTGCAGCTTTTTCACTTTTTTGAAGATCTCATTGGTACTTCTCGCAGTTTGTGTTAGTTTCTTTTCATATGTGTAAAATATGACTTTAGTGTTATGGTAAGTGAAACATGTTTTCGTTTCTATCAAAGTGCTTTTTTCTTTGGTTCCTTGCCTGAGGCGAGTAGAGTTTGCTGAGAGAAATGTTCCAGACAGGAAGGTCTTTTTCTTCTTCCACCTCGTTCAGGTCTCTCTCGTGGTATGTCAAGGTCCCGTTAATGATTTCGAGTCTACTGAATTTCTCTGAGGGGGCACCAGGGAGGGGGACCACCCAGCCATAGATAAGGGTGACCAGTATTAGAGACAGTGCTGTAGGAGCTATGACACAGGCTAGCTTTAATAGAGATAACACGAAAATAAAGATCTTTATATTTTCAATATTAAACGTACATTAAATGCATAATTTGAAACAATATAAAATTCCCCAAAAGCAAAATATGTGCAATAATTAAATTGAAAAATTTATTACAGTATTTTATTATAGTCCTCTTACAATTTTAATTTTTCTTGTTAGTCTACTAGTATATCCTCAATAGTTCATGATAAATCAATGCTTTAGGTAATTTCACCTTTGCAATGAAAGATGGTTCCTTTATGGTTAACAGGTACACTATACACCACGTGACCAGTAGAGCCAAGGCTATATACCACACCAAATAGCCTCCGTCAGAGAGACCGTCAGAAATCTGTAGAAATTTCTGCCTGAGAAAATTGAACTAGCTTAGAACAGGGGCCTTTTGTTGTTAAGGGTTATTGAGAATTCGATTAATTTCATCATTTAAATCTTACTTGAAAAATACTATGGGCATTTGATGACCAGACCTGAAACAAAATTTTAAAATAACCCATGTTTTGTAGACGCATTTAAAACATTGTCTAAGAGGTAGTATCTAGTTAATATTCTATTGTCTATGATTCCTACAACTCGGTGGGAATCCATTCAAAATGAAAATAAATGTATTTTAAGCCAGTATAATCAACAATTTTTATGCCCACACACTGTTATTGGCTCTATAAGGTATCATTGAGCAACCATTATCTTTTGAAAAATTGAAGAGTAAGTCAGTTGTAGCCTTAAAACCAACCTCTCCCAGTGATTAGGATGAGTGGCTTCGTCGTAGGGGAATACAAAGGATGCGAAGGCGTAGTACAAGCAGTAACTGAGTTCTAAGCTTCCAGTCAGGCACCTGATGTAGGAAAAAATCAGTATCGCAATGGCACAACCTGTCAAGAAGAAGAAAAGAAGACAATGAATTATCAATCTCAAAAATCATGTAAACACTACAAAACTTGAACAGGATAAAAACACAAACGCAAAGGTAACATAGAAGTGTAATCAGCAGGCAAGCTTGTAATACTCAGTACCTCGTGATTAACTAAAACATAAAATAAAATACATTTATCAAGAGCAGGACAAGAAGGCATTTGTTGAAATTTAAAATGATCCTATAATTTTTTCGAAAATTTGCATGAATAATGCTGAGATAATAAGACAGTAAAATTATATCGTAGAAATTGTTTTCCTAAAGGTATTTTATTATGATAATTATGAGATATGTATGACTGTAAAACCTACAAACAACAAAATATGCAAACGGGTGCTGCTTGCCACCTGTTCAAAAGTGACAATGCAATCTGTAAGCCACTGTATGGATATAAATATAAGCTTAGTTAATTATTTCTTTGGTAAATATGATGATAAAATCCCGTCAAAACTAAAGGTTTTGATATTTCTTCATCATTGCCTTGATTATTTTGTTCATGAAATATATGGAGATAACGAACAGTATTCAAGATCAGATATCCACTGTTGACAAAACAATACAAAATAGGAGCAGAGCAAACACAAACCTCTAAAACATCAGGTGCCATGGAGGAGTGAGCATCTCCTGCCGACCGGTCACGCCCACCGTGTGCTCCTTGTCATGATCGGGAAATGACGGAAATATCTGTTGTCAATTCAATGTATAAATAATGGACTAATCGACAATTAGTATGAAAAACGTCAATCACTATTTGACTCAATGATAAATTGTACTTGCTGACAAGGTCACTATATTGACCATAGAATTTACGAAATGATGACTTCAAACGAGACTGCTGATATTCTTGTTTCATCAACTTGTTTGCCGGCAATTTACCTCGTTTTAGTTCATACGTAAAGCATGCTCTTGCGTATCGAATTAACAGAGATATATAAACTCCATAAGCAGGTGCTGAAGGTATATTGCTGCATAAGTAAGGGAAGTAGAAGATTGAAAAGTTAAAGTCATCCCGTTTATCATAGAGCTTGGTTGTTAGATTGCCATTAACGTCTTTTTCAATTAAAATATCGAAATATAAAACAGATGTGTCAGACTCGATGGTATTCTTTATCTCGAGCTCACCGGGATATATCGTATCGACATAGGAATGGAAATTATCATTGTTAATCGTCAAAACGTCGTCGATATATCTAAATGTCCAGTTGAAGGCCACAGCAAGTGTTTTCTTCTTCTCACGCATCAGATTTTAGACAAATTCTGCTTCATATGAATACAAAAATAGGTCAGCTAATAACAAGACGAAATTGGTACCCATTGAAATTCGAATAGATTGTTGAAGGGACCTGGTCTCAAAAAACAACATATTGTCAATCAGAAACTCAAACATCTTTTTAATGTCAACTTCAGAGTATCTGTGTGTACAACCAGAATGTTTTTTAACAAAATAATTTTGCAAATGACCAATGACAAGTTAAGTAAACGAGTTCCATTTTTATTGAAAAAGCAGCTGTTAATGATATCATGGTTTCATGGACTTTTGGAATTTTTAAGTATCCACATCTGATTTACACACTTCTTGAATATATTGTTGCACAGTACTCTTGAATTTTCTCCTTCACTCCTGTTAATATCCTAGTCAGGAGTTAAGAAAGAGGCTTGGTTGAACATTTACTGGAACCCGCTATGTATCTTTGTAAGGATTTTTATGAAGTTTCGGAATCCAATATAGATATGGTAGTTCAAAATCTTTTTATTCTTTGAGATATTAGAATATTCAAAACTGGCATATGATTTTGAAGAATAATATATATAACATCTTTATATATTTCTTTTAGGGATGTCAACGAGTACCCGGTTAACCGGGTACTCGATCGAACGTCCGGGTATCGAATACTAAAATCAGTACTCGGTTACTCGGATGTATATTTTTGAATATTTCTTAGCTTATTTATTAATGCATTAAACAATCTGTTTTAAAAGGTAAAATACTCATTGCACTTGTACTTACAGTAATTAGGGTTTCCTACTCCTCTAAATGACCGTTATCGCCCGTGGCAGTGTTTATACAGTAATTATCGTGACCAAGCACCTGTAACCTGGCTTTTCTCACCTTTGGCTGTCTTCTACCCTTATTTTTGATTAACTTTAATTATTTGTTTTCACTGAACATCGTTTAAGGTCTATTATGATTTTATAAATTTGACAATCTTGTTAATTCTGTGAGAAGTCTTTTAAAAATTCTCGGGAAAAGAGACAGATGATATTGCCCGCGCGATTGTTGATATGGTCGTGTTTGATTACGTGCCAATACAAATGGTTGAAGCCAAAGGCTCAAAAAAACTTATGTCCATCATTGCACCAAACTACAAAATACCGTCCCATAATACTAGAAAATCTATGATCGAAAAGTGTATTAAAACCGTAAATCCGCTCTATTAGGCGAACTTGATCAAGTTCAAGTTAAACTGTACGACTGATACCTGGACGTCAAACGCAACAAAGAGTTACATTACAATATACGGAGCATATTAATTTTTGTAACAAAAAATCTGTGAACTACTTATGATTTTACTTTCTTGTGTTTATCTGATGAATAAATTGAACATAAACGATCTTATATTAAATTTCATCGGGCACGAAGTGCTCATCGTTGTTACAACAGAAATACACTAACGGGTAAACCTCCTATCAAAGCATGTGGTTTTATTTCTACAAGAGTTTACAATGTTTACTTGTTAATATTTATATACACTTTTACCGAGTACCCGGGTACTCGATCGGAAAAACGTCCGAGTAACCGAGTATTAAAAATTGACCGATTTGACATCCCTAATTTCTTTTTACAAAAGTTATCAAAAGTAAAAGTCAATTCGAATATATTTTCCTATAATTAAGCTTTGGTTTTATAGTAGGATTTTTACTTGCAAGAATATAATTTTATACGAGTAAGATTTTTTTTTAATTTTTTTTTTTTACTAATTTGCAGTTTTATAACACTGTAAACAACGAACACTGCCAATTATAAAAATTGATTGTAAACTTTATTCATCTTTTTAAATATCTAACAAAAAAATTAATGAACAAATAAGTGCATGTGGAAAATCTATAGAACAAAATACAATTTTAATGATTATGATGCAAAGAAATAAAAATCATAAACGATTTAATATTATGTCATCAAGGCTGAAGCGCCACTGTGCTCATTAAGTACGGATCTGTCGAACCTCAGAAGTGCGGTTAAATGACTAAAGGCAAGTCATTATTTAATTATTTTATTGATTTTAGCAGGTTTTGATTTACTAATGTGAAAGCAGGATCTCGACATAAGCGCATAAAAATCAATAGCACATTTTAAAATTCAAGTGAGCATCCAACTGCACACAAATGATTGTTTGCCTGAGTGGAATTTTTATTTGAATGTTTAGAATCCAGATAAAGATGATTTTTTCCCTTATTCCCGAAGAAAATGTTTAAGAATTATATTTGTTGATAATATTAGTAGACAGGAAGACCAAAAAAAAAATAAATATAGTTTCAAAACATCTTAAATTTTGCTCAAAAGTAAACAATAAATAACAGTAATTCTATCTGGTTGTGGAAATTGTTGATACAAAGATACATGTACTAATTTCATCTTCGCTAGCCAAGGTTTCCGATCCGAAATCTACTCTAGGGTTATAAAGTAGATTTCGGATCGGAAACCCTTGGCTATCGAAGATGGTACTAATTTAAACAAATTCAATTTATGAATCAATTATATTAACATAACACCATATCATGATGTATTTTCCGTACCGGATTATTATTGGGTTCGGTATATTTAGCAGAATCTTGTTAAACTAAAGTAATATTTTTTGGTCAGTTATTCAATATATTCTTATTGGAATATATGGACATAAACAAAAGTATTCAAGCTCAAAAGGCCTTTAAACGGTACAAAATTGGACAAACACGGACCTTAGAGGAATGAGCATCGTCTGCCGACTGGTCACACCCGCCGTGTGCTCCTTGTCATGATCGGTAAATAACAGAAAAGTCCGTCGACAATTCAGTTGGTTGAACAATAAGTATGAAAAACGTTCCATTTAATTTGACTTAATGATAGATTGTATTTGCTGACAGTGTCATTTTAAAAATTATTCATACGTAGAGGATGCTCTTAATGCGTATTGAATCGAGATATAAACTACAAATGCAGGTGAGGAAGGTATATTGTTTCATAAGTAAGGGAAGATGACGATTGAGAAGCTTAAGTCATTACATTTATCATAAAGTTTGGTTGTTAGATAACCATGAACGTCTTTTTCAATTAAAATATCCAAATATGAAACAGATTTGTCAGACTCCTTGATATCTTTTCTTTCAAGCTCACCAGGCCATATATATGGTATCAATTAAACATAAGAATTCAAATAACCATGATTGTTTATTGACAATACGTCGTCGATTTCTCTTAATGTTCCACATCTTCCACATCAATTGTTTTTTTTTCTATTAGCATCAAGATTTTGACGAATTCTGCTTCATATGAATGCAAAAATAGGTTCAGCTAAATCCTTCGCAACCCTGGGATATGTTAGTTCTTAATAATTGTGTATAGGTGTCAATGTAAACTGCGTATCATTTGACAGACATTTACATTTAAATGATCATTCTGTACTGATTAGTTTAACAAAGTAATCCGTAGGCAAAAATTATAATAATGAAAAAAGACATAACAATATCGGCAAATCATAAAAGTCATATTACGACTCACTTGTAAGTTGTATTTGCAACTTGTTTCTGCAAACAAGATAAGTTAACGGCAATAGAATTTTCAAAAGCTAACAGCAAACGAGAAAGCCCTTATGATGTCCTCTTATTTGTCAGTAGCTTGTCTTTATTTGTTGATTGGCTTAAAATGGTCCAGACCTACTCAGAACATGTTCTTAAATCAGTTATCAACGTAGTATACAAATGACTCTGTAATATCCGTACATATAGGGAAATTATGTTGAATATGAAATACTTATTAGCAATTAAAATCTAGAGTCAGTAAAATGCAGATCTGCGATGTCCGTTTTTGGAGCTCACTGGGAGATAAAGAGTTTATATAAATAAAAATTACAATTGTTCATAGATAAAAATTCGTCGATATGTTGAAATGTAAGATTAAAGCCACAACAAGAGTTCTTTACATGTAGAAGTTTTCTAATAGAAAATCTTCAAAAGAATTTAAAACCGCTCACAAATAAGCCGCAACAATGAAGAAGACACACATGTAGTCCATTTTTGGGGTTTCAAATACACATACACCGATGACGTATAGTATTAAGGAATTTCATGTCGTGACCGTTTAATTTACCTTTAAGGATAGGCACTAACAGGCTGAAGATTCCAAAAATGTTCTGTCGATAGATAGCACCCAGCTTCATCTGAACATAACAGACAGGCACACAGAAGGACAATAACATGATGTAGTGAGCCAGCAAAAACGTCACTAGAAAGGAAAAATGTAAATATTATTGCATGGATTTGTTTCTTATATATTAGTTCTTGAATTTTGTGTTGTTGTGTTATTTTGGGAAATAATGTATTTAACCAAATGCAAATTTCTCCACGTTTCCAACTAATTTTGATACCCAGGCATATCCAGCGAACAAGACAGTTATTCCTTAAGTAATTAAGAAATGTACATGTATAATGTTGTGTATTATAATAATTGCACATAAATAAAATGACTTTTGTTGAAATATTATTTCTAAAAATAATTATTCCAAAAAATTAAATATTTTTTTTGTCGGAATTCCCCTATCTAACTCAATTTACTAACAATTCAGTTGATAAAAATCGTATACTTTTACACATACTTTGTCAAAATAAAATTAATTCTTAATATACAATTTCCTTTACTCAAGATAAATTAACAGAATGCTGATTTTCAACGAGATTTTTGATACCCTTGTAAAATCAACTTGTTAGTCAGTAACCTGTTTCGTTGAGTACATAGTATCCAGGATATTTCCGGACTTGGCATTAATAAAACAATTATAAAAATACACTCTATAGATAATTAGGTTCTTTTTTTGCAGAAATTCACAGGGCTTAAAAAATCAAAATAAATGTGCTTTTTACACGATTTTTACTTGAATTCCTTTTTTTTTTGTATTATTTGCCTTTGGCCATTGAAAATAAAAGGAAATTTCTGTTGTAATTGGAATTTTTTTTCCTGCAAATAATATCTCATATATTTTAACAATCTATTGGATTTCCCAAAGGTACAATGTAATTTCCATTCTTATGTCGATACGATATATCCTGGTGAGCTTGAGATAAGAGATACCACAGAGTTTGACCCATTTGTTTTATATTTGGATATTTTACTTGAAAAGGACATTAATGGTAATCTAACAACCAAGCTCTATGATAAATCTGATGACTTCAATTTAACTTTACAATTGTCAACTTCCATATCCTAAATGCAGCAATATTCCTTCATCGATTCGATACATAAGAGCATGCTCTGTGTATGAACAATCTATAAAACGAGGTAAATTATTAACAAACAAGTTGATGAAACGAGAATATCAGCAGTCTTGTGTAAAATCATCATTTCGTAAGTTCTATCGTCGATACAACGACCTTGTCAGCAAATAAAATTTATTATTGAGTCAAATACTGACTGACGTTTTTCATACTTATTGTTAGTCCATTATTTACACACTCATTTTCCGTTATTTCCCAATCATGACAAGGAGTACACGGCGAATGTGACCAGTCGGCAGGGGATGCTCACTCCTCAATGGAACCTGATCCCACCTCTGATGTTTTTAAGGTCCGTGTTTGCTCTGCTACTATTTTGTATTGTTTTATGGAGTTTTGATCTTGAATACAGTTCGTTATCTCCATATGTTTCATACAGTAAATGTGATTATAAAAACGATTAAATGTGAAAAAAAAATCATCATTCAATTCAATATTTGTTTTTAGTAATTATAATTAAGTGGCATTCGAACTAATATTTTCTCTATTTAAATCACAGATTTTTGTTTTTAAAAGCGAAAGTTTTTATTTTATACAAAAAATTATATTTGTTAATTTGATCAAATCAAATCCAACTTTCTATGATAATTGGGTAGATATTTAAAGAGTATACTAGTAGATGAACAAACCAATTATCATAGAAAGTTAGTTGTGATATAATCAAATCAACATTTTTAAGAGACGATTTGAAGCAAGGGTAACTCAATAGCAATTTTAGAAGACGAATTAATTCCATATCGATCTGGAGACAAGAAATGATTCAGCGATGACTAAGACTCGGGTTTCTGAAACAACGGATTCATTATTAATCGCTACACATTTACTTGCAAAAAAATTTTTTGGCCAACGAATTAATTGATCTGATAACATACCTGAATATTTCACAATATAAAATGGAAGTGAGATGCTGGCGTGCAGTCCTATGGAGTAGCAGGACACCATGGCGCACTGAAGCGTGTTCCATTTTGATGAACTTGGTCCGTTTATCAAAGCGGCCTCCATGATCTTTTCTGTCGTTAAAGATAAAAATAGATATTGGAACTCTGAAGCATATGCGCTGTAGTCAGGAAGGTTCAGCTGGAATTGAACGCTGTCGCGATGTTTGCAGGAGTTTTATAAATCTGAATTGGAAAATCGAATGCAGTTTCTCTCAAAACACTGCATGATGCAATTTGTCAATATCTTTTAAATATGGATAAAAAAAAATTGAATAAAATTTAAGATGAGTAAAAATTAAACATTTCTTCCGAAATGTTTAAACTTCGGAGTTTAAACATTTGTTATTTTTACTTTTATTTATTATACGGATACATTAAATTGTTTCCGAATTCCCAAGATTTTAGGAAGCAGTTTAATTGTCATTTACATAATTATAATAAAGCGTTGCCTCGTGTTCTTGCTCATGTTTGAAAATTTAAGTGATGTTATGCTGATAACCATGAAAATGACAGTCTATTTCATTCCAAAATTAAAGCATTAGTAAAGGACGGAGACCAAGTATTATATAGCTGAGCATGAAGTCAGACTCATTTATAAGCACACGAATTTGAAATATTTAAAAATTTTGCATCCTTTGAAAGAGGCTTCTCGGGCAATTAACATGCTATCCAATTAATTCAAAGGACATTACATGAAATTTGCAAATCCCAATGACGTCAGAAGTATAAATCTAAAATGTCAATGATATGCGTATCAATTTGGTATTGAAAAAATAATTGTTTTCTGTTGTAAGAAAATTAAGGGTTTTTTTTACCAAAAAAAAAAAATCAAATTTTAACATCAAATTGTTTAGTTTTTTAAAAAATCAATTTCGAATATCAGAAAATAGAATTATTTGATATCAAAATATAGAAGGGATTTGGAAATAATGAATATTCCTTTTCATTTTTTTTTATCAAATATCAAATTGAATTGATCATAATTTATTGAAAAAGAGTCAAAGGTATTAGACACAAGTTCAAAAACTTGAATAGTCTTCAAAAATCCATATACATGTAATAGTATGTATGATATCCAAAAATCATCCTCCAATGACAAAAATGTAACAGAATGTTATGAAAACTATGATAAAACAACGATATAAAAAATTATTTAAGGTTTTCACTATGTATTTTTATGTACTTTAAATTAAAAGGACAACACATGATCTGCCATATATTTTTTTTCAAGTTTGGATGTTTTACTGACAATAAACGATAATGTAATTAACAACTAAATTGTTTGAAAAACGAGTAAACTTCAACTTTTCGTTGTCATCTTTCCTGGTTTTTATTAGGAATATTCCACTATCACTTGTATTTGCCACTATATTTCCTTGTTTATGCTATACACAAGAGAATGTTCTGAAAACGATCAATTTTTAATCCAAAGCTGGTTACTGATAGATAAATTGATGTTTCATGCCAATTTTAACGACTTTACAAAGTTTTACACTATATTTTACTAAGGGATACATGTACTAAGTATTTCGTCTAAATGATAAATACATAAGGCTCACGGCGGGTGTCACTGGTCGACGGGGGATGCGCTTACTCCTCCTATGCATAAAGGATATGGAGATGACGAACAATATTCAAAATCAAAGTCATTTGACTTCACCTTTAGAACAATTCAATTTTTTTTTGTAAATGCATGAATTTGTGTGTTAATGTGTTTGTTTGAAATACTTCTATGCCTTCATTTATACAAATATTACCAAAAAATGAAAACAATTTATGTGTTAATGTTTTATTCATTCACAACCTTGATAATGAAAAATCGATTTTCTTTTTATAAAACTAATATTTTAGTATGCTTTTTAACTCTGTTACAATGATTTCCTTAATTTCTGCATTAGATTCTTTAATTCTTATTTTTGAAAATGGCTTTTCAAATTGCACATTTTTTTGTCTTTAATGTATGTTTTAAGAAATATTTCCTGAAGTTTCCACTTCTCACTCATCCGACTCAGTTATTCGAATTATTCAGTTTAATTCTACTTCTTACGGAAGTCCATTAAGAACCTATCAAAATTATTTCGAAATTTGTTATAACGAACTGAACGTGTTTTAACAAAATAAAATGAATTTGAAAAAATTTCGAATATCTTTCAAAGATATCAGCATCCTAACTGGAAAAAATATCTCCAAAAATCATAATTTAATTCAAAATTGTCAAAATTTAGCCTGAAAGTGAAATTTCTTTGTGCAGTTATTTTCATTTGATAAATCTAAATACATGTTTTATTTAAGGTCTTTCTTAGAAAAGGTCTTGTTAAATCCGGACATTTGTACCCCGTAAATGTACGAATGTCTTGCAAGGAAAGCACAAGCTTTTTACATATATCTTAAATACATGTGCAAAAATAAATGTATTTTAGATACATTTAAATAGCTTGTGCTTTCCTTGCAAGACATCTCAGATCACTTCTTATCCATATCATGCTAACATTGGTTCCCTTTGATCTAGCCTTAGAAACCGATGTCCATTATATTAGCATTAAATATTTTGTTAAAATATTCTGATTGTGCAAACAAGTACTCTGAAGTCGACATCAAAAAGATGCTTGAGTTTCTGATTGACAATATTTGTGTTGTTTTTGGAGAACAGGTCTTCCAATAATCTATTGGAGTTCCCATAGGCTCCGTTATGAGCAGACCTATTTTTGTATTCAAATGAAGCAGAATTTGTGCAAAATCTTATGCATGGAAAAAAAAAACACTTGCTATGGCCTTCAACTCGACATTTAGATATATCGACGAAGTACTTCCAATGAACAATGGTAATTTCCATTCTTATGTCTATACGATATATCCTGGTGAGCTTGAGATAAAAAAAAAATACCACAGGGATGACATATGTTTCATATTTAGATATTTTACTTGAAAAAGACGATAATGGTAATCTTACAACTAAGCTCTATGATAAACGTGATGACTTTAAATTTTCTATCATCAACTTCCCTTACTTATGCAACAATATACCCTCATCACCTGCATACGGAGTTTACATATTTCAGTTGATTAGATACGCAAGAGCATGATCTACGTATAAACAACTTCTCACAATAATTAAGGTTAATTATTGACAAACAAGTTGATGAAACAAGAATTTCAGCAGTCTCGTTTAAAGTCATCATTTCGTAAGCTCTATGGTCGGTACAATGACCTTGTCAGCAAATACAATTTATCTTTGAGTCAAATGCTGACTGATGTTTTTCATACTTATTGTTAGTACATTATTTGTACACTGAATTGACGACGAATTGTCCCGTTATTTCCCGATCATAACAAGGAGCACACGGCGGTTGTAGACGGTCGGCAGGGGATGCTCACTCCTCCATGGCACCTGATCCCACCTCTGATGTTTTGGAGGTCCGTATTTGCTCTGCTCCTATTTTGTACTGTTTTATGGGCTTTTGTTCTTGAATACAGTTCGTTATCTCCATATGTTTCATTTTCATTAAATGAAATAAGAAGTGATCTGTGATGTCTTGCAAAATCAAAATTTTATACACCCATAATTTATCAATTCACAATAGTAACTTCAATTAATAATATTAGTGAAATCAAAATTTAAAAAATCACAGAGTCTGTCATATCTTTTATTGTTTTTATGTTTAACTGGAAAGAAGATAAGGACTAACTAAAAACTAAGTTGATGACAAACGAGATGTTCAAGAGCCTTCTCTGAATTCGATTCATTATTTTAAACGAGGCTCCCTACTGACAGATAATTTGTTACAGTGATATCAGCTTTAATCAGCATCTCATAAATTGTAATACCTTGATAGCAATTAAATCATAGGGTCGACATACCCGGTATTTCATAGTTTTTATACTCAATTTGACTACAGAATATTTTGTCTACTAGATCAATGCATAGGATTCTTTGACGAGCGATCATGTGATACTTACTTGTCCTGGGCACCTGATCCCATCTTTGGATTTTCCGGAGATCCGTATTTTTCGTCATTTTAAATTTATGTTTACATGGTGTTAAGTGTATAAACTGAATGAGCTGTAGCTTAATTTGCTTAATACAAATTCACTCAATCATGTAATATACTAAAAAAAATTTTATCTTAGTAAACTTTAATGATCAGAAGAAAAATAATCCAAGCCAAAGATCCGAGGATTAATTGGAGTTGTTCCTCCTGAACTGTTATTCAATAAATACAAAAATGTAAATGGTTACAAAGGAATCTTAAAGTACCTTTAATCAACAACATTTACATTAAAAATATTGAATTTTATACATATGGGACAGTACATACATATACATGTACTTTAATACAGTATTACAAAATTGACAAATTTCATAGTACAGTTTATGCTTGAAATGATGATCCTGAGCAGCTTTTTTCGAGGCAAACAAATGTAGTAAGAGTTATTTTTAGATGAAATACGCTAATTAATGACATACTGGTCGATATTGGACATATATTTTTTTATTTGTTGTAATTTAGGGAAAATATGTGAAGTACTACAAGTTAAAGCTTCCTGATTCAACATATGTATTTCAGATATTCTAAAGGAAAAGGTTGGAGAATAACCTTAGAATTATAATAAATATTTCCAGAAATAGCCAATTTTATTCTGATTTTAAATGCTTTCCCTACAATTTTTCGTCTTTGTTTATGATAATTATAATTAAAATTACCCTAAATATCGCTGAAGTTCTGGAGATTTCAGGGCTTTGCCCACAAAACCCAAACCAGGGCTCTTCTAGGATTAACTGAGCATTTCAGTGCCCCGAGTTACCTCTTGCCTTTGAAAAGAATTTAACCCACCTCCAAAAAATTCCTGGATCCACCGCTGTCTATGACGTGCCTTTAAGACATATTGTGGTATTACATGATAAAATTTGTGATTGATATTGCTAATCTTGTTATCTTTATTAGAATTCTATTAGAATAAATCGAACTCAATTTGTGATTCATGTTATTAGACGTTATTCTTAGTGTTACTCGTGTTATTGATATTCCAAAAGTTGTTATTTGTGCTTCACATAAAAACAAACTTTTGAAAACTAAGCGATACAAACTTTCTGAATAAACCTCACGATGTTTGGAAAACAAATCCCAAAGTTATAGCATTTTAACTGCAAAGTACTGTAATATGAATAACTGTTTTTGATATTATTAAGTTCTTGAAAAAAACTTTTGATTGAAATTTATGGATATAACGAACAGTGTTCAAGCTCAAAAGTCCAAATAAACAATACGGATGTTGGAGCAGAGCCCAATAGACCTATAAACATCAGAGGTGGGACCAGGTTACTACGGAAGAGTGAGCATCCACTGCAGATCGTTTAGACCCGCCGTGTGCTCCTCTCATGTTTGGGAAATAACCCCCAAAAATCGTTGGCAATTCAGTTTGTAATCAATTAGTATGAAAAATGTCAGTCGGCATTTTACTTAATGGTAGATTGTATTTACTGACAAGGTCATTGTATCGACCATAGAACTTAAGAAATTACGACTTTAAATGAGGTTCTGCTATTCTTGTTTCATGAACTTGTAAATAAAAAAATCAAAAGAATTATGTATAATTCATAAATTTTCAAATATATATTAATTCTAGAATAAAATAAAAAGGTAAAGAACATGAATTATAACTCGAATATGAATATCGTTTTCTTTCTAAATCAAATTACAAGATTTTGCGTTTAGAGCAAGTGGTGGCTTGCTTTGGGTACCCAAGAAACCAATACAAGTGTGCTATGGAGTACACTACCTTACTCGGTATAGTAGTAATTATATTGATATCACAGTTGAATCACTTAGGAGCACCCTTGTTACGCCTTGCTATGGATTACCATTGAAGGCCAGATGCCATGACGCGCCTGTAATTTATGTGGGCTGCACAGAATCACTGCTGGTAAAGTGGGAATCGAGAAAATCTTGGTTTCAGACACCAGCTACTATTGGTTTACATCAATGAGGCAGTCTATGTCAACTTAATTATCAGAAATTATAGAACATTTGATAATGACGTAATTATTAATGTCCAGTATGGTTTCAATTGTTAATACAAATAAGGAGCAATTCCGTAAATGCTTTAGATTACACTCGTTTAATGTATTTTACTAGATTATTCATATTTGCTTTTAAAGTGGTAAACTCGATTAACACTACATTATTTGTGTTAAAAGTGATATGAGTAAATACTATATGAATCATTTATGATTTCCTGTTTCTTTTATGCTTCACAAGATTAAAACTTTTGATGCAATATAGAGTTTTCTGATAATATTGCGAGTATGGTTGCTGTATGTGCGACTCTTGACACGTGTAATTGCTACGTTTGGCTTCTGTTCTGTTTCATGAAGTGCGACGTTTTACTGCTGTATCATAAATTTATTGTTACCCGAGAAATACGTTTAAATTTAATATTGACACATCAGATAGTGCAAATTTCTTGAATAAACTCCCAAAATATATACCTCCAATTCGAGGATTGGTTGCTTCTATCAAAAAATTAAAAATATATTGCATATGTATACTCCCCCCCCCCAACATAAATTGTTCTATTATGTGGAAAAATAAAGGATTCAAAAATGCAAAATTCACTCTGGTTAGTTTTATATTGGATAACATTCTTAAAAATCATGAAATTGTTTTACTAAAAGTATGTTACTGGAGTATTTATGTTCATTAAGGTTCTATCCAAAAGTTAAATTTTAAATAATTCTAGATCCATGTTGTATTCAAGTCATCTTCGATTTACTATCTAGAACTTTAAAGCTACAACTTTCTATGCATGCAGAAGAAACAAAAATGACCTTGGAACCCCATCACCCCACCCAAGGAAAAAAGATTGACCTCTCATTAATAAGAATGGGAGTCATGGTATTTGAAGGGAATAGACATGCATTCATGACCCTTCATGTAAAGGGAATCATGCATGTAAGAGTGTTTTACTTTTACATCCCCTCCATGAATAGTTTTAACCTTTGACTTGGAAAGATGGCATTAGATATTTCCGATGATCAACTTCTATGGAATATTTTAATATCTCAACAAAATATTCTTATATTTGAATGACATAAAGACACCGGTCTATTTATTAAACATACAGAACCGTGACATTATTTTTCAATGTATATGTAGGAAAGATGAGGATCGCAGATGATTGACAACCCAAAAAATGTTCAATCTCGGAAGAACACAGCTCCAAAACTGTAGAGTGTAGTGTTAACTTATGGTTTTCATGTTTTCATCTTTGACTATAAAGACTTAATCATAAAACCATAACTCTGCCGTTCTGAAGCTAGGAAGAGCAGTCCTTCTTTATCGTGTGTTGGGGACCTTTCTCTAATTATTCCATTTTTCCATCTTTGCTATCGGAGGGTTTCTCATATTTCTGCATAAACTGAAGAAAGTAGCGTATTAGAAACCCTTGGCTAGCGAAGATGAAACGGCTAAACCTCAAAACTATATCTGTACAAAGACGGGAGAGATGGAAAAAATGTATACCGGTATTTATTGTGCATAAAAGTGTGCTGCTTCTCGGATTCAAACTGCCACTTTCTAAAAAAAAAATTCTTACTGGGTATTCCAAATAAATTCCTTTACAATTTTCACTTACTATTTCCACAACAAATATCTGTTGTAAATAACCCTCCATGAAATTGAGACCAGCCAATTTCGCATTTTTTCTGCAGATGACATCGTTTCAATTGTAACATGCTTCGTGAAGAATTCTAAAGAGGTCATGATTTCTTTTTAGCTTTTGTGCAGTTGAGATAAGAATTTGGAGGAATTAATCCGGTACCAATCGCAGCTTTTGTGCTCAATTTTTGGACAGAATTTTGTTTGGGTGGCATTGTAGCACTTCGGTAGTCTATATCATTTTTTTCTCAGACCAGCAAGTTACAGAAATGCAGCTACCTTACGGTTACAAAAAAGTGGGGGGGCATGTCTACATAAAAAATTAAAACCATGAATCAAAACTAAAGCTAAAGACTATTTTCAGGAAATAAAGTACACCCCAACTGGCATACTACGTGCCTGAGATATAACTGGATAAATGTAGACTACATGCAACACAATTCTTAGGATGCAAACATTAAGCTTTGAACAAATATAAATTGCAAGGAAAAAAATCACCAGTATACATTCGTTTACTGCTTTAAAAAGTTTGATCGCTTGATCACGACATTCGTATATGTATACCTGGTGCAGTTTTAAATTATTTGGTGTCATTATCTTGCTTATTTATACTATATCAATCCATTTAAAAGTAAAAAGAATATAACAAATAACACAATATCCGCGTAACAAGAATTGATGGAACATTTCGTATTGCTGTAAGAAATGGCCAGAAATGACAATAAACTACAAAAACTATTATCCTTTTCATGCAATTTTGAATAATTTCATAATATTCACTTTAAGTAACATAAACCAACAGTCTCAGAGACGTAAACCAGTTGTCGCATTTACACAAATAAAAAGTCGCCTGTGTCAAAATTTTACAGAAATCAATTGTACCGCCTACAAATTGAATTTGCTAGTTATTGACTAATTCCATGAAAATAATTAATGTGAAGCACATTGTTTGTGTCCACGGCATAAAATAACGTTGAATTAAAGTTAACTTTGCCCTCTTAACTGTCCAATCAGTCCTGTAGACTTAATGCATCATTCGAATGCGAGTACATGAAAAACACGCTGTAAACAGCCTCTTACATGTAATGTTTCGATATTGAGCATTTTGGGGGTATTAAAGCAATTCAATCGCTTAACATTTTAATAAATTTGCTTTCTAAAAAGTGATTTTTATTGTTTTACATCAAAAAATATGTATTTAACCAGATATTTCACAGGTGCCAATAGTAGCTGGTGTCCGAAACCAAGATTTTCTCGATTCGCACTTTACCAGCAGTGAGAATGGTCATTAAATGCGTGTCTAATATTTGTCAATAAAACAATTATTAAAGCTGAGGCCTATCGAAATACATAGTTTGTTATTTTTCTCCAAAAAATATTCTGTGAAATAGAATTAAAAAAAAACACTTTTAATACCTGTCTTTGTTGTGGGTTTTAAAATCAGCAACGGTTTTACATTCCAACAAATGCAAAGATTCACAGATTGACAAGCACTTGTTTACTCATTTGTTTAAACAACTGCCAAGAAATATAACAACAAACATGTTAATGCAATATCTCTTTATTTACGTAACAGTTACAAAAACAAGTTCATCTAGCCCGTGTACACTATGTACTGGGATCGTACGAGTGAATGGAATTCTGGTGTAGAACATTTATCATGTAAGCTTTATTATCGCATACGTATTATATATCAGTACCTTGGCACTTTGGAATCAAAAAAGAATACAAACTTGAGTTGTGTTATAGGCCGAGTTTATTCAACCTTCACCTATTTTATGCGAAAATAAAGAATGCATGAAAAGAGTTCTACAACAGGTATTTACAATATTATGAAGTCTAACAATGATATAAAAGAGATGTATTAAAATATAGTAACCCTCATTGCAAAATAAAAAAAAATATTTTAACACAATTCAGAAAAATAATTTAGCACTGATTAACATCTCAAAAAGAAATATTTAATATTTTTTAATTTAATTTTTTTAAATTAATATTTTGTAAAATACTACGTTATATAACCAAAACGGATATCTTTTTTATTATTATATTACATTTTCTTTGTTCTTTTTTAGCCTACACGCAAAATAAAGTATATGAGTTCATTCAATATCACAAATATACAATACTTGTTTATAAATATTTCACTAAATACAAAACTTTAAAAAAAACGTGTAATCATTTGCCTTTAAATTATCTTTTAATTGTTTTTTAACTTTATAAAGGTACAACCACAAATACGCCTATAAACCGAATGAGGTCGGTTTTTTAGAAATCTTCTATATGAAGGAAAGGCACATTCATACTTTCTTTTAAAGCACAGATCAAAGGTTTCAATCAATTTAGACTGCTCTATGAAGTTCAAAATGAATTAAAACAATTTGCATTTTAAATAATTACACAAACATAACCATAACATAAAAAAGGTATCTACTTAGAATAAACATTCAAACATTTCAAAATAAAATTTAAAATAACGGTGAATATATTTTAGATAAAACACAGATCTTATTATAGATATAATTAAAAGATAAAATATAGTATGAGAAATGATAAAATGCACAACAGGCAAATGTTTCATTACATAATGCTTCAAAAATATAATAACACTACAGTGCTTATTCGATGCAGCATTTGCAAATAATGACGTATTTATAAAGCTAAACATTCAAACTAGTGGGAAATGTGTAAATTAAAAGTGAAATTATCTTCACAAGAAATCCAACATTAACAAAAGTTTTTACATATCAGTAGTATATTAGATAGTCATATAAATCTTCTGACTTTGCTCAAACTAGTATCACGTGTATACAACAAAATCAACAGTATGGTCCCCGTAAAAGTTAGTTTAAGTAAATCAGTGTAAGCGACCTTGTTTATACCTCCAATGTACCAAAAATTTCTTTTCAAATTACAGTTTTTCATTTTAAAAAAGTTATCACGAAATATTTTATTCTTTATTTTGTATTTATCACAGATGGCGGGAAAAAAGTTAAAACGCCCACTGATGCTCCCTGATTGGAAGATATTTTTGTCATCAATTGGGTACCAACATTCCATCCACAGTCAAGGTATTCGGAGCGCCATCACGTGTGATGATGCGGCCTTTATGTCCATTCATGGCAAAGTCGTAAGTACAGCTGCAGTCTTCTTCACTGAATGTTTCCTATGGAGTGGAGGTAGAACAATTATTAAACACTTGTTACTTGAGATATTGGGGTACATTTTTACTTGAGAAAGACATTGATGGCAAACAAACGACTAAACTTTATGATAAATATGAATTTTTTAACTGTTCTTCTGTCAACTATTGTCAACTATTCATATGCAGTAATATACCCCTTATGGTATTTATATTTCCAAGACAATTCTTTATGATAGAGCATTTTAGACATACAAAAAATTTCAAAATCTGTATAAGGATATCAACAATTTTCTTACGCTATAGTTTCGCTATTCAATAGTATATCTTATTTTAAAAAATTGCAATCTACCGATATCTATAGGTCGAATTCATGGTGTCTTTTATAAAAATTGAATTTCTCACAGATTTTACCCGAACATGATGAAAGACACACATCATATATGTACCCGGTTAATGGGGACTGCTTACTTTTCCTGGCACCTGATTTCCTCTCTGATGTTTTACAAAAGCATATGCTTGCTTTGTTTACAACTTATATCGTTTAATTGCACTTTTGAGTATCATTACTGTTCGTTGTATTTACGTTTCTTAACATAAAAATAAACTACCGTTTTACTTAAGAATCAATTTTATAATGAATGTTTTGTGTCATTTCTTCTTATTGCCTCGTCCACAAAACTATTGTAAACTTAGAAAAATACGATAAGATATGATTCCCCTTTTTTCCGATCTGGTATACAAGTAAACCCCGTAGTATTAAAACTTAAAACAAACCCCAAGAAATTAACAAGCCATCAGACAATAAAGCGGTCCGCATTTGCTTATGAACGACTTTAACGAAATGATCATCAAAATGGAAAATGACATGTAGTTTATAACAACAAACACACCAACTATTCACATACCTTTCTTTCTTACAACACCATCCGAACTCAAATTGAATGTAAATAAAAATGAAAGACGTTTTTGAAAATCAAAAAAAGAGGCTACATATAAGTTGATGTTTAAGGGATTTCAACAACTTTGTTTTAAGTAAGAATTTTGAAAATTCTACAACAGTAACCTTAATTTTTTTTTTATCAAATCTAATACTATTTGACTAGTCATCGTTCAATTTATAGGACTAACGACTGACTATGAATTACGTCGATCAATTTATAGGACTAACGACTGACTATGAATTACGTCGATCAATTTATAGGACTAACGACTGACTATGAATTACGTCGATCAATTTATAGGACTAACGACTGACTATGAATTACATCGATCAATTTATAGGACTAACGACTGACTATGAATTACATCAATCAATTTATAGGACTAACGACTGATTATGAATTACAACGATCAATTTATAGGTCTAACGACTGACTATGAATTACATCGATCCATTTATAGGACTAACGACTGACTATGTATTACAACGATCCATTTATAGGACTAGCGACTGACTATGAATTACATCGATCAATCTATAGGACTAACGACTGACTATGAATTACATCGATCAATTTATAGGACTAAGGGCGGTTATGACAGAGGATGCTTATTCCTCCTGGAAACTTGATCCCATGTCTGAAATTTCTAGTGGTATGTATATAATTATATATTTTTCATGTCTTTTTTATTTTTTACAATTATTGTTTTTAATCACATTTTTTTTATAATTAAAGCAAGTTTAAGATTATCATTGTTCGTTATCTTTGCCTTGTTTACAATAATAACTGTTATGTAATCTTTCATTGTATTAACTTTCTACCTCGAAGTCCACCAATAAGGAAGTCGTATCTGTGGCTTACTAGAATGCAATTAGTCCCCTAATACAATACTTTTTCCTGTAACATCGAAGCTCAATAATACTTTAATTACTATTGACTTTCTGTCGGGGATCGTGATAATAACTGAAACATTCATTATTGAAGAGCGTATAGATTTTTAGACACACGGATGCTGTTTGTTAAAACAGTGATATATAGCACCATTTGAACATTTCTCAAATTACAAATTCGATTCTAAGTGACTCAGAATCACATGGCATCCTATAATACGAAAGTACATTCAAACTCACCATGGCGTCTTGTTTTTCCCCGTTGCAGTAAACTTCTCCTGTGTACATTCCTAAAAATATAAATATTTTCTCATTACATTCAACAATGAATATTGAAGATATAAAGAAAAATGTTTCGAAAAATATTTTATTAAAATAATTTTCTAATCCTGAGAAATCAGGATAAAAATAGTGTCAAAGGTATGTAGGATATTCAAAAGAAATAGTGCGAGTAAAAAAATAAATAGAGTAAATAAGTGTAAATATTTCTCTAATAATGTTCCTAGTATGATTTTAAATCAATCGCCTTGGAATAAATGTGAATGGTTTAGTTCTACTTCTATCGTGCACCAGTTAAGTGAGCTTCTGCAAAAATTATTTTAGTAAATTAAAACAGTTTTAAAAACATTTGACTGAGGAAGTAAGAACCCAGTGTCTGTCGACCAGAGCTATTTTCCTTGGCTTCGTTCTGAAATAGTCATTGCTTTGGGGAATTGGACTCTTGCTAACTCCGTGAATTAAAAAATATATTTCAATGGTTTATTAATTTCAAAATTAACACAAAGAATACTCGACAAAAACGTTCCATTTTTAGTGAAAGATAAAAGTCTAGGTCTTCTTTATACCTATGTATAATATTGGCATTATATGAGTGTATCTGACTTTGAGGTAATTCAATTGTTCCAAAAAGAAAATTCCAACCATGTCTATTTGTGTGAAAATTACAAAAAAAGAATCACGTCAATTTTTCAAAGAAGAAAAGAGGATGTTAAAGTGTATATTACTGATTAGACACGTTTTTGATCTTTATTTAAAAATATTTTTTATATATCTGAATCATGTTAAGAACATAAACTTTATCAAAGATAGTACAGGGTGAAAAATGGTAATTAACATTTCTAGATGCCGACACATATTAAGAAATTAAAGTACACGCTGATTCAATGCTCATACGCTGTATGTATCAGCGATTTTTGTCTACTTTCCAGTTCGATTGCGTAAAGGTGCAAAAAGGTAAAGGTTATAAAGGTCATCAAATGAATCAGTTCACTGATTCAAAATTACGATATATCGGTTTAATGAACTCCGCTATTCATTAAACTAAAGCTGCATATCTTCAAATAATAATTTCCCAATGTTATTGATTTTTTCAGACAGTTTTAATTTCCTGACAACCAGGTACATGAAACATATTACTTTCCAGCAATATTCTCCTTGAAGTGTGCCGCTGAACTTTGGTCAATTACCTTATTTTAATCGTAAAAATCAAGATGTTCGAAACTTTATTTATATGGACTAATACTACAGTTTTGAGGGTTCAATCTTAGAAAATGAACAACGAATTAATATTCAGTATCAAGGCTGAACATATATTTTGGTCAAAAAAGAGAAAAATTCTCTGTAGAAATAATATGAAAACAAATTCTTTCGAATATTATGAACATTGAAAAGTGTTCCTAATCACGTTAATTGTCTTTGAAAAAAGAATTTTTTTTCAGTCCATATTTACAATAACTAAAACAAAAAAGAACAAAACAAACAAAACTTCTGTAAAGTTTCTTTGATATTTTCCTGTATATAATATTTCACTGGTGGGTGGTCATTGAAATTTGATTGTTAACTTAAATGCGTACTTAGGCATTAAAAATTTGACTTTTTAAGGTAATGCCAACGATATACATCAACAATGTTCTTTTTAAGCACTTTTTTCTTCAGTTTCAACTACATTTGTACATTGAGAGTTAAAAAATACATGCGTACTTTTAACTCTCAAACTCTATAAAGCGTTGACAATTGCAATTGCTACTAGAACTCAGCATATAATTTTAAAGAATTATATTGATTTATCGAACTTAATGAAAGAAAAAATACCCGGTGTGTTTGAAAAAAAAAATACAAAGAAAAATCAATACACTCAGATAATTTAAAAAAAATGTTAAAAAAAAAGAGGTTTCATTTTATACATTACAACAACAACATAATGTCATGATGAAATGAAGAAACTAGACTATGATATGTAGAAATGATTATTTAAACAAAGATAAGTAAGTGATTAAAAAACACTTTTTATCAGAGTTTGACTGGAAGCGGAAATATTCATAGTCCTGCTTAGATTAGACAACTTAACAGAATGTATGACGTTTGACTGAAGTTATCCAATCATACTGTGTTTTGCTCTTGAATTGAATGCAATAGGAAAAGCAAATAATGATGGCTAATGATTATTTTTTATTTGAGGTTTTCCTTGTTTGAGAGTTATCGTTTATTGATCAAGTAATTGTTTAAAAAGCAACATTTGGTTTGTCGATATCCCCCCAAGACATCACAATGTTATAGCAAATGCCTCTTCATATGAGGTAAATTTAATATAAATATTTTCTTTCAGAAAAATAAGTTTGATGATCAATTAATCGAGTGATTACGAACAAGTCACAGAACTGTGTACCTGTCCAATGCAAGACTAAATCAGAAATAAAAACAAAATGCGTTATTGTTTTGTTTCATTATCGTGGAAGTTTGCTTCATTATCATTTTGCATTTTCAGAGTTTCATATTTGGTAACCTAACAACAAAGCTTTTAATTAACTTGATAACTTTTCAATCCTCAACTGCCCTCACATATGCAGCAATATACCCTTATCACCTGCATATGGGGTTTATTTCTCTCAGTTGATTTGATACGCAAGAGCATGCTCTACGTAAGAACAATTTATAAACGAGATAAATTATTGACAAACAATAAGATGAAACAAAAATATCAAGTCTCTTTTTAAGTCATCATTTTTCAAGTTAAATGGTCGATACAATGACCTTGTCTGTAAACAAAATCTATCACTTTAATGCTAACTGACGTTTTTCATAGCCATTGTGAGTCTATTATTTACACACTTAATTATCTATGGGATTTTCCATTATTTCCCGATAATGACAGGGAGCAAACAATGGGTGTAACCATTCGGTAGGGGATGTTTACTCTTCCATGGCACCTGATCCCACCTCTGATATTTTAGAGGTCCAAATTAGCTGTGCTCCTGATCTGTATTGTTTCAATGGGCTTTTGAGCTAAAATAATGTTCGTTCTCTTCATATATTTCATTTCACAGGTATCCAGAAAACTTGATTCAAATGTTAAAATAATATAAGTAAGAAACTTCTTACAGTAGGAAAACAGGATGGAATGTTTGGATTGGAGATGACATTGGCCTTGAACTTTGACCTCGAAGTTATAGATGAGGCACCTATGTCTATATTTCAGATAATTTAACTGATGAAATATCCATTTATATTTAAACTTCAAAATATCATAATGAGAAGGTCTTAATAAACACATCGGAAAAGGTCGAGGAAATAAACCTTAAACCTTCGCGGGTATGTTAAGGTAGCACATGGACCAGAATTCGGCGAATTAAGACTTTTTTATAATTATGTAACACTAATAAATCAGAAAAGTCAAGCATAAAACTTTTGTTATAATTATGCATTCTACAGACTTCAATGGGATTTATACTACATGAAGCACTTCACCACGACGTCACCACGTGACGTCTATAATTAGAAAATATGCCTTAATGAAAAAGTGAAAAGTTCAACACTACCCCGGGGATAATTAATTTCAATTTGTAATAATAATTATGTAAAAACATCTCTGTACCATGAAAAGTGCTGCTAGAATCCTACTGTCCTATCACAGAAATAATTATTCAACACTTCCTGACGAAACCTTCCCAAAATTTTTACACTTTGTTCATAACATCGAAAAAAATGCATTAATTCCCGTAAACCATACGATTCTAGCAGTACTTTCTAAAAACAATATAATAAGAACTTTAGATAGAAACAAAGATTAAGTTTCAATGTGTGCGTCGTAGTGTTGAACTTTTGCATCTTATTTATTACGAACGACAGAGGAAAGGCTGATCGGCAAGTAAACACCCTCCCTGCTTTAATGTTACGAAGAAATTGTTGAAGTATATTACCATACCTTATTCATAAGCTTTATTCCCACATGAATCACACATGATATTCATTCTAAATGCTTTTAAACTCCGATTTCTTGTGTTTGTTTACATGAATTCTCGTTACGTTTCACTTTCACTCTGCTACTGCATGATCAACAGTTATGACGTCACGGGTTTGGTATTTAACCCCTGTGATAACTACAGAGACCCAGAAACGACAAAATTCTGTTTGTATTATGCCTCTGCATATTTTGATTAATTTTACGGCCTCAAATCAATCTTAGATATCGATTATAAGAAATTGTTATCTCTAAACTTCACGTCATATAGTTTATTATGACGTCATATCATATAGGCAAGTAGAATATTTGGTTGTAACCTTAACCTACCTGCGTTGGCATTGATAAATGAACTTTTTTGCGGTTGACAATTTCCATATATATCGTTTCTAAATCTCACTTGAGGACTTGAAGCCAAATGATAGAGGTTGCAATATTTAGAATAACAGTTTGCAGGTTGACTTGGATTTTGATCTTTACGTCTGAAAAGAAACAATTTACAAAGACAAGTTTCTTTTTCAAAGTTTTAGTAATTTGGGACATCTTTTATATATTTTTTTCCCATTCCTACCACGTTTTCATTTCTCATATATCCTTGGAAGATGTACAAAGTCCTTTTCAAAATAATTTTTTTAAGTTATTATCATTCATAATTTTTTCATAGAATTTTTATATGTAGGTTGGGTAATTTACAGAAAAAAATATATGTGAAAAGAAAAAACATTTAAAGGATGGAAAACACCAATTAAATTATTTCATAAGCTAAAAATGTCTTAGTTGTAGTTGTAACAAACATTGCTCAGTGATGTGAACAAATTTCCCACAGTTATCTGAAATTTACATTACCGTATTTCGAAAAGAATGATTAACAAAATTGAAAAATCATGTTTATATTCCCATATTATTTGCATTTTCATAATCCCTTCAGAAAATAATCAATATGGCTAACACAAAAAACCCCACAAATTATACACAGTTTTCTTACAAGCCAAATAATTCTTAAATTCGAAAATTGAAAAAAAATGCTTTAAAAGTGTTTCAAGGCGAAAATTT